AGAAGATTGGATACAATGTGGGAATTGTAAAATTGGTTTCATGAAGCTTGTCCAAACATATCGGAGCTTTCAAATCAATATATTTGCGATTATTGCCTTTGTTTAACAGCTACAATTTATACTGGCCGGTAGTGGAGGCCAAATTTTTTAAGAATAGTTTTTCCATGTTTTAAAATTTTATCATTTAAATTATAATTATTACTTAACAAAATGATGTATTATTGTTTTTATTGATAGCTTACGAGTTCCTAAAAACATATCAATAAGTACATATTTAGCATGCGAGTTAAGACGTTTTTTTCTTATTTTAAATAAACCTTCAGGTGACGGTACTGTAGGACTTTCCTCTAAATATGATGCAATCAAATTTTTTAGAAAATTATTTTGAGCCGCTTTTTGCCCTAAAAAGATTCCCAGTAATAAGGGGAGAATTAAAGTGGATTGGTACTTTTATGCCTTTAAATTCCAAACCAATTCCGTTTTTGTCCGCAATCTTAATTAATTTCTATGCAATTCAATTCCCCAGTAAAAAAAATTCGATACACGGACCGCGGAGTTCGTATACGAGCTCCGTAATGAGAAGTGTATAGATGCTTGTATACGAGGTGCCTTTTAAAGCATTTTTCTTAATATAACACTATTTTAAAGTAAATGTAGATAATAGAAATGAATTTTCAAAGTAAAACAAAGCTAAATTTATAAGGGAAATGAAGTTTTAAGAAAAAAAGGATAATTTTGTTCAAAGAATTTATTCACACTGAAAAAAGGTTAGAATTTGATAATTCCTTGTTACTCTTACTTACCGACATTAGATATTTCTCGGATGCGGTAAGCAGGATATTGTATTAAATTTAATTATTTTATATAAGAACATTTATATAATAAATAAATAATAATATATTATTAATTAGTAATGAAGAAAAACTTATTTATTCTACCGCCAATACAAAATCGTGCTTACTGCATCCGAGAAATATCTAATGTCGGTAAGTAAGAGTAACAAGGAATTATCAAATTCTAACCTTTTTTCATGTGAATAAATTTTTTGAACAAAATTATCCTTTTTTTCTTAAAACTTCATTTCCCTTATGAATTTAGTTTTGTTTTACTTTGAAAATTCATTTCTATTATCTACATTTACTTTAAAATAGTGTTATATTAATAAAAATGCTTTAAAAGTCACCTCGTATACAAGCATCTATACACTTCTCATTACGGAACAGGCTCGTATGAGAGATTTCTCATATTTCTCATACGAGCTACCGAGCTCGTATACGAACTCCGCGGTCCGTGTATCGAATTTTTTTTACTGGGTCTCTGTAACCACGTGACCAGAGTCTAAATTCACTTTAATGCCGTTTAAGGGAATCATTTGTTGTGGAGTTAATGCCTTTTAATTAACATTGAATTCTTTAAAGGGCGTTAAAGGGGTTTCAAATTCTGGTCACGTGGTTACAGAGAATTGAATTGGATAGAAATTATCAATTTAACAATAGAAAAGGAATTCATTAAGATTGCGGACAAAAACGGAATTGGTTTGGATTTTGGAATTTAAGAGCATAAAAGTACCAATCCACTTTAATTCACCCCTTATTACTGGGTTTGTTTCATTAGACTGCGAATGGGTTAAAGGAATATTGCTATCAATTACAAATTTATTTTTTATTTTTAAAGATTCAAATAAAAATATTAAAAAATTAGTAACCTTTTGAGAGGTTTCTTTTATGTTGTGATAAAAAAAAAGATAAGCTAAATATTGCTGGGTTAGTGGAAAGAAAGTACACCTTGAATTTTGGTTAAAAAAGAGGACACCTCGAAAATATTAATGTCAAATAAATTTTTGTTTGGCGATACTATTTGTAATGTAGTTGGTTTATTATGAGATTTTGTGCTAAAGAAACTATGAAGATAATAATATGTTCTTAATCTAACACAAAAACTCGTAAAGCAATTGATTTACACATAAAATCGCCAAACAAAAATTAAGTTTTTAAAACTTATCTATTCGTACCAACCCTCATGCGATAACTCACCATTTACCATACTGCAGGGTGAAGAATTGATTTCTCTTACCATCAGAGTTGCGTCTTACTCGCATATTTCTATATTATCAACTGCAAAGAAAAAGCAACTGTCGGTAGATTATCTTGTAGTTTTCAATATTACACGAATTCACTGGTAGTTGCTTGTACAAACGCGTAAATAATTCTCATTTTTCTCAAAAAGCTGTAACGAAATATGTCAACATTTTTTACATTATCACAAAAAATGAGAAAGTCTTGGATTTGTGTGATTTTGAACAATGTATAATTCGTGTGAATCTCCACGTTTCATGACCCCCTGATGCCTGAGTTCGTTGGGCAGTCCATTTCGTTAAAAAAGAACATAATATACAAACTTTTCCAAATTTTGTATTTAAAAAAATTTTTTTAAAAAAATTTTATGCAAAAACAAACAACTTTTTCTTTAAACACTTTTCAGTACAACAAAAAACAAAAGGATTATGATTTAAAAATTTTTTTTAAATTTTACTATATACCCAGTAAGAAGTAAGGAATTGAGAAGAATTGGACATTTTTAACTTTTTACAGAAAATGTTGAATTATCAATTTTTTTGAATTCCGTTTCTGTCCAATTCCTATGTATTCCTTTTTGAGGCAAAGATTTCTTTAAAGTGAATTCCAATCAATTCCGTTTCAATATTTCTTTAATTTTTGAATTTTTGTGAATTCCGAAATACTGTGTGATACTCGGTAAGTTCAATTCCTGTCTATTCCGTTTTAATATTTTGTAATTTTTTAATTCCTTTGAAGTTTGCAACACTTTGAGATAAGTGCTTCTAAAATTCGGAAATCATAGAACAGTTTAAATAGCTGAGCGGACAAGCTGTTTGTCTCCGACAATGAAGCTTGAGGGTTCAAATCTTCGAACAGTCAAATTTTTTTTCCGCTTAAAATATTAAAACGGTATTCAAAAGAATAAACTTAGCTTCTTTTCGGCTTCTCCAAATGAAAATAAAAAAAATTGGTCACAAACGGAATTCAAAAGAATTAAAAATTTCGAATTCTTATTAATTCCTTACTTCTTACTGGGTATGTAATTTGACTTCTTGTCAGCTAAGTTTCAAGTATATTTGTCCTAAATAAAAATCAGTCATATTATGTCAATATACCGCTGATATATATATATTAGATTCATGAAGTGAATCATTTATACAAATTTAAAAAATATTTTCCCATAAAAATGCAAAGCATACAAAAAATTGAGGTTTATAGTGAGTGAAGCATTAGCCTAAACATAAAAAAAATGTTGACTCGGGTGTTGAAGAAATCTTGTGACATATTTAATCGAAATGCGATTTTGTAATTTCACTTTGACTTTGATTTTAACTGTAAAAATGAACGTGAAAATGAAAGGCAAAGTGAAGAGTTAAAATTAGACAATGGTTTTTATAGACGGTATGTTTAAAATTGGGGTATAAAATTTTTCTTGACTTTTAAAATAGGATACAATTATTATAGAAAGCAAAATTCTTTGAATTTCATCGAAATTGGGGCCCATGAATAATAGTGATATTTACTATGACTTGATTACAAACTAATGTTCAATAAATATGAAATGATTTCGTCGTTCCAATCTATATTTATAAAGCAATCAAACTAAGAACATCGATTCATGTTACAACTTTTTCAATTTACTTTTAGACTTTTAAACAGTGAAGGGAATCATGAAACTGATAATCTTCTCGCTTTTATGTGTCAAATCATTGTCCATGAATACAATTTTTCAACTGCAGAATTACAAAGAAACAAATAAACTCGAGAATGAAATGACTAGTCTCATGAGACTATTGCTTCATATAAAAAATAACTACTTCGAGGATCGTCCCATCTTTATAAAATATGATTCTAACTTCGAGAAACATCTCCCTGTTGATTTTAAGCAAATATCGAGAGTGTTTTCAACTTCCTTTGTGCAAGAGCAAGTCGATCCATCATTAAAGAAAAAGTTCCCACATGTAAAACACGTTAACTGCAATTATATTATTTTTTTGGAAAAATTAAATTCAGTGAAAAATTTCATTGCACCCAACTCGAAGAGTAAGATTGTTTTAATTACCATTGATACATCTTGGATTGTCAGGGACTTTCTGAAAAGCCATTTGTCGAGATTTTATGAGAATCTTTTAATCTTAACTCACTCCTTAAGTCGACGAGCCAATGTAAGTACTTTTGTTTTCATTACATGAAATGGGAGGACCCTCTCTTCTGATCATTCGAATTATTTTTTATTCATTTCTATTTATTGCACTTTGCACAGCGACGCGACGATTTGTTTTTGTTTTAAAGAAATTCGTTTGGCATTCGGGCTCCCAAGAATGTACCCCTAGCATAAGCTGCAGGTTTCCCCCCCCCCCTAATTTTGCAATTAACTAAACTTTACAAATACGGATTGAGATTAAAAATAAACTTGCATATTATTTAACCCTTTAGGGGCCGAAATGATATGACTGCTTTGATATTCGTTTAATAATTTAAATATTTAATATTCAACAAGTTACATTTTAATGCAGCACATCAAAGGAGACAGGAGAGGCATATTAGTGGTTGGCGCCTATGGCTTGGTGCTGATAGTGCAACAGCTAGCTTCAGCCGGCTCGTCACTTGCATTCATGATAAAAAATCTTGTGTAATATGGGGTATCTTCCTCATGTTACACAACAGAATCGAAAGCTCATCCCGCGCAAACTGTAAATTTAGACCCCACTTTTTGCATCACTGCATTTAGAACGATGATTGGTAAGGGTACTTCCCATTCTAATTTTTCACGCGCGTCTTCGCATCCTCTTTCCTCGAAATCGCGCCAAAACATCATGAATCTATTTTCCCAAAGAAATCCTCTTCGGCAACCCGATATACGCAGGAGCTAGGAGGAATGCCAAATTCGCTCCACGATGAAGAATTTACAGTGATAGTATAGCGCTAATGTTTCTTTTGCAGGAATCGACTTATTTACTCTACACTCATAAGCTATATTCAGACGGAAGTGGCGCAAGTGAACCAATTTTACTGTCAGCCTGGAACTCAAATTTTTTGACCCAACCAAAACAGAATTTGTTTCCCGATAAGCTGGGCGGAGGATTCAAAGGTCACCGATTACTTATTTCAACAGCGCACAAGCCTCCGTTTACAATGCGAAAGTAATCAATTTTAATATTTTCCTCGATCGTCATTTCACAATACTTGACACGTGTTTTTCTGTAACTTTTATAATATTAGTAGATGTGTGTACAGTATTATTTATTCTGGTCGCAGTATACTTCTTTACTTCTCTCAAGTATACATATTTCATTTGAACGCAACAGGTGTGCATAGCTTAGAATCAAGGCATAAACTTATTTAAAATTTTTGCAGATCAATTCAGGGAATCTATGATACAGAATGGGATGGAATTGACATCCGAGTTTTACGATTGCTTGGTGAAAATCTAGGTTTTGCTGCAGAATTTCGAGATCCTGCATCATCAATGCCCAGGTACTAATATTTATTAGAAAAAATTGGAATGAAATCTATGTTGGCTCTGGAGTACCGTAAAATTAGGTGATAAGCACCACAAGAAAAGTTGATCAGTTGAAAATCTTATTATGTGTTTTCCTGCAGCAAATGTAAAAAGAAAACCGATTAGTACCTATTGGGTATGTCTATTTAAAAATATAAAAGAAAAATTTAGATTTTTATAAAGGAAATACGTTCTTCATCGGAAAAATATTGTTTTAAAAAAAATTAAAATGGGGTGTTAACCCGAGTCGCAATTTAAGCCCTACTTTAAGCCTGAATTTTCAGGGTTTATTGACTTTTAGAAGCAGTGAAGGGGGTTCTAACTTTAATGCAATTAGGCCCTACTTTGAGTCCCGAAACTAGCTGAAATTTGCTAATCTTCCATTTGGAGAGCTAAAGGAGCTCTCTTATTCGAACTTCGTATACCTTACTTTATACACCTCGTACAGCCTACTTTCATGCTCCTAGACCCTACATTCTGAAGTATAAATTAAAATTATTTTTTAATGCATTGCTTGAAACACTGCAAATGCAAAAAGTACTCCTAATTGACAAATACTGTTGTGTCTATATACTGATATAGACGCTATAAAACACATAAAATTACACTTTTACTCATCCCAAGTGCTTCAATGCAATCTGAGCAAATTTTCAAATTTTTTTTCTTCTTGTTGTATAGGGTCTAGGAGTATGAAAGTAGGATATAAAAAGCTTTAAAATGTAGGGTCTAGGAGAATGAATGTACACGGAGAGACCCACATCTGTAAAAATTACTAAAAATGGTTGCAATGACCGGAAATAAGGGGACTTTTATCATAATGTACTACAGAAATAGATAAATTTGCTACATTGAAATAGCAAGTTTTAATATTTTGTGTAAGAGTTGTAAATGTAGCAAAAATTGATTATAGTTTTCTCTAATTTCATTACACAAAATCTGACAAATGAAAACATTTTCCACTAAAACCTACTATCCACTGTAGTAATTTTTGGTGAGCAAGTGTGGCTAGCGAGTGCAGTCATATGGCGCCTGCATTTCTATTGGTTGCTAACTTCGTCAATCTCCGTAAATGAGCCGATGCCATCCGATCATTGACAGTGACTATGTTTCGCGTATGTAAAATAAATTTGGATATTATCTACAATAATTAAATATAAAGTGAAACGTAGGTCGTTCGTTATCTCAGAAATTGACCATTATAAATTAATAATAAATTTTGCATTTATTCCTGTCCCAAGAACTATGTCTTATAATAAGTTGTTAAAAGTAAACTGCTTTCTCGTAAGTGCTGTAAATTTTCACCATTCAATATATATAAGGAAACAAAGATGTATAATATGCAGATAACCACATTCCATGCGTTGTTTTGGATTTCTGAGGTCGTCCCCTTTTATGCGTATCATTTGAGTTTTAGAAGAGTTCCGGCGCTTATCATCCCATTTTACGGTACTTACCCATATATACATATAGGAGATGTCTGCAATGTAATTTTATTTTCTAAACAGAAGGTATTAATTTTAGTGAAACCGAGTCCATAATAAATGACATTTCTGAAGATGAGGCACCTGTTGCAGTGGGTGGAGTTTATCAAACGTCAGATCTATTGGCACATTTTGATACCCCTTTCTCATACCTGTCAGACTGCGCTTCTTTTATATCCTTATCATCTACAGCCTTACCCAAGTAATAAAACTTTTATACCTTTAATATCAGTTTATGTGTACGTCTATGTCTAATAAATGAAATATTATATACTTGAATATGAACCGTGCTATGTACGTGCGATCAAAATATTTAAAGTACAGTGAGTTCTTGCGAGTCGTTCAATTTCTAGTGTGCGCGCGCCAGTGCTCAGTGCTGTATAATTTGTGTCTTTCGGGGTGATAAATTTGCTTCACACATCCCTGAAATGACTTATGCGTTGAACGACTCGCAGGGTTCGCACGTAATATACGTCAAGGTAATATACGTAGTTTTCTACACGTATATTACTACGTATATTACGTCTTGAATTTTTTACGAAAATAGATGTATATTACGTTTTGTCGATATTACTACGGCGCATGCGTAGAACGGGTAAAACGTGCATAACATAACCTCAAATATTTGTAATTCAATAACCACATTGTTAATAATACTAGCTCCTCCGACGGCCGCAAGCGGCCGTCTACGGTGCTAGTTTTTATATGTCCATTGTCCAAGTCCATTATTTCATTAATAATAATATTCAAATTTTTTCAGTTAATAATTTGCTTATTTATATTTGAAATGTTGACGTTTTTTTTGACAATGCAAAATAAGATTTATTATGAGTACTTTCTCTTAACAAAAATAAAATTTATATATTCGCGCTCTTTTTAAATAACATACGACTGCAGCGCCACCTTCACATGTACAAACAATTTTAAAAACACCCTTCTATTAAGATTTTACATTCTCATTGCCCATTCTTTACTTCGATACTTTTCGATACATTCGACCTTTCCACTCCATGTCTTTTTTAAGAAAGGAACCACAAATTGTTTATTATTAATCATCTGCCTGCGAAGATGAATGTTTTGACTGCAAATTTTCTGCATTGAACGCATTTTTGTCACCTTTTTTTACAGACATTTCTAAAACAATTGACAGACTATCAGAAAACTAATGCTATTTACGTATAATTATTGTATAAAAACCAACATTTAAATTAAAAAAACGTGATATAATTTTATCGCTTAATTATGCAAAGTTTAATAAGTAGGGAAAATTATAAGGTATATATGTTTTTAAAGGTTATGTTATGAGTGAACATCCTTACAAAAAAATTAATACGTTAAGGGCATTTGAACCTTGATGACGTCACACATGCTTTGCACAATCTGTAACGTCATCAAGGTTCAAATGCCCTTAATATTGATATTTGCGGAGTTTATCCTACTGCATTATATAATATTGTAACAAAATTTTTTTTCTCTGCCGTCCAGATAAATATAAACTATTTTGAAGAAAAATTTATACACATCTTGCGCGCGCCATATTGAAAACGTAATATACTGAATATTTTACTCTTTTTGACGTATATTACGTCGAAAACGTAATATACGTCAAAAACTCTCAAGTTACGCGTAACTTCTGAACCCTGACGACTCGTGAGTTTTATGATCTTGAAAATTTTCGAGAATTGAATCAGTCGCTCCCTCAATCAATAAGTGCCACACTAATAAATAAGTCAAGTTTTCACTTATTCTGTTTTAACTATATAATGCTATATTATCTTCCTATTTTAGGTACCGAGCTGTACTCAGACCATTCCAAGATACAGTCTGGATACTTTTGTGTGTGGTTTATATCATAGCTATAATTCCATTTACACTAAACAGCGATTACACTTTCCTGTCGTTGATTAAGCATCCATCAGGATTAAACCATATGTTTTGGTTCGTATTTTGCACGTTTACTAACGCATTTGACATGAAAAATCCACTGCTGACTAGAGGTCTGGGAAAACATCCAACTTCAATTCTTATTGGTAAACTTCATAATGTACATTACTCATTACGAATGCATTTTTCTACAGTTCTACTTCCCTATTTCACATTAGAGAGATTCGAAATAATAATCGTTCTGAATCAGCGGCGGCGGAATGATTGTATATTATATAGCGATAGATAAATCATTTTAATAACTTTGCATGACCCATTCCCTAAAATCTCTGATCTGCTCGATCTACTTGGGAAACACTTGAAAGTATATAATGGAAATGGTGGATCAGCTAGGTAGAGTATCTCCTATGGAGATGGATGCTAGTTTCTGTAAGGGTTGCTGGACTTCCTTCGCGTGGTATCGGTGAAGGCAAGTGGACCAAAACCAGCAAAGCAAGAGCAAGTGTTAGCGGTTGCAACAACGAGGAGTACCTGCGGGTAATACATGTAGAGGCGAAAGAAAAGGACGAATTTGTGTACCGAGGTTCAGTCTGGGCAAAAGAGCACATGCGTACCGAAGACCCAGTCCTTAGTCGACGAAGAAGTCAAAAAAGCAATTTGGGAAACCTAATAAACTGTCTGCGGGCAAGGCAGTAGACAAAACGTCGAAACCAAGCAGCAAGAGTCAGCGATAATTGTCAAGCTGGCTATAAATGAACTAGGTATGCTGAAGTGCTGGGAAAGCTGCAAACAGAGGTTAATTCTGAGGCCAGATAGACAAGATTAGTGTAGGCAATACCCACAAAAAAGAAAGTTTTTCTCATAAAAACGAAGTCTCCGCAGACAATGAGAAGTTCAAAATGTGATATGTCCAAAAAGATTAGCACAAAAACAAAACAATATTATTATTATTCTCGTCGAGCGACAATACAGGACGAATTAATTTATTTTTTGGCCTAGTTATTTCTGTTGTCAAAAAATCGTTTTTTGTTTGTTATCTGCTGTATGAGTACGCATGGTTTTTAGAGTTGTAATTTTAAAATGCAGGTGCAAATTTAAATATTGTAACAATGCATACACATTTATGTAAATTATATCTTACTTGTTTTTCGCAAGAAAAAGTAAGACAAAAAATTACTAACATATATCCTTAAGAGATTGGACAAAAGAATATTTAATGTTTTCACTCGTAAACAATTAAAAAGTAAGGGGCACAGAATCAAACTACACAAATACATGCATTGATTCTTATTGTTATTAAAATTACAGACATAAAATAAATAAATTAAATAAATTCTCTTTTTACAATTGCAGGAATTTACTGGATATTTACAATTATCATTACAACGTGTTATACAGGTTCTCTCATCGCTTTTATAACCATACCAGATTACCCTCCTGCTATTGAAAGTGCTCAACAACTTTTAAAAAAACATTATAGAATTAGTACTTTAGGTAAAGAATACCTAATTAATTAAATTAATTTGGCTCTATTAATTATAATACACAAAAATACACAAAAATAATAGTAAAAGTTGATAAAAGGCGCCAAGAAATTTGGTAATCTGATAAGGGAACATTCACAAATGATTCACTAAACTAAAAGTACGTGACATCATTTGTGAACACTCTCTATATAGAACTTCTTAATAGCCAATCCATTTTTAATTTATTTCTAGATCATGATGGATGGGAAAAATGGTTTACATCTGAAAATATGGAGGATCAAATAGCCAAAAATTTACTGAAATCTGTCGAATTAGTTCCTAGTGTTTCTGAAGGCGTAAAAAATGCAAGTCGAGCTTTCTTCTGGCCGTATGCTTTTTTAGGTTCACGTACTGCTCTTGAATATTCCGTGCAGACGGAGTTATCACCAAAGTAAGTTATTGAATTTTTTGGAATTTTTTGCACACAGGGACTTTTGAGAAATCTGCTAGCAGATATCTTGGATTCCGCATCTCAAGGTTATGTGGGCTTGGTGTAATAGAAATAAATAAATATTCACCTTATCGTCGTAATTCTCCTTTCATTGAAAGCAGTTTGTGTTCTTCTTACAGTCGAAACAAAACTCTGCTTCTTCAGTAAGAGAATCAAAGTCGCGGGTCTCGAGTGTATCCATCGACTGCATCTTACCAATGCTTCCAACGGCTTTGTCGCTTTGTTAACGTTGGCGGTGGCAGTCTTCTTTTTGGAGTCTCCTTCGATTTTAATGAGAGTGACTAACGTCCGAGTTGATCTCGTTGCGAAGTTTACCCAGAACGTAAGCATACGTCATCTCCGATGGAGAATTTTCAGATGTTGGAACTTCCATACTTCCAACCCTTTTTCATACGTTTCCATTGGAAGCGCTTCCCCTTCCTCTTTTCATCGGCTTGAATTCGAGTCTCCTCTGGACTGCCACGCTCCGTCTTTCCTTTCTGAGCACCTCTAATGAATGTCGCTTTTGAATTTGCGCTTATAATGGTGCACCCTCTCCTCCTTCCGGTCCCTGTGGCCTGTCCTCCTCTGTACCAGTGAGAACGTTTACCGAATCGTAGTCCGAATTATCAACCGCGACAAGCTTCTCCTTTGCCTTATTCAGCAGGACTTGGATGATTTTCAGGACATACTTTACAGTTCTATTAATGATAAGTTCAATTAACTGTCGACCTTCATTAGGACAGTGTGAGTAGAGTAGTGTTTTGCAATTCTTACTCCTACGTAAATAAATTGTAGTACAGTAGCAGTAGTGAAACTATAGTTGCCTTCCGTCTCCTAGAGCATTGGAACATTACACTGAGAAAATCATCTAACAGTCCATAATGCATTTTACACAAAAAAGTCAAAAGGTTGTTTTACTGACTTACCTGTAGTCATTTTGAAGGATTTTTTTTATAATCCCTGTTTAAAAATTCAATGTCCGTTTTTAAAAATTTCAAATGTCGGATCCAATATGGAGACCAAAAAGGTATAAAAATTATCCAGATTTGCTTAAAATTTAATACTCAAAAGATTTTGGAAATGGGATTTTATTCAGATTAAATTGTAGGGGAGAGTGGTCCTAAGTTGTCCGCCTAAGCAAATTGGTCGAAAATAGTAACAAAATGAAATTTAATCACTTCGGCAAGTATATATTAGTGTTCAGAGATCGTTTTGCTATAATTTTGTGGTATTCAGAATAATATAGAATGGCTTTTGTAGTCTTAATACAATAAATAGTGAAAAGCTGCATTTTGGACATTTCAGAAATAGCGGTCCTAAGTTGGCCACCACTTTTTTTCGCTTGTGTTTAAGGAAGAAATGCATATTCTTTTCAATTACGCAGAAATTTTACAAATTTGATACATTTAGGAGGATAAAAACGCATTATTTAACTATTTTTGTTTAGAAAATGAATCAAAATATTTTATTTCATTTATTTACAGTGGTGGATGGCTGTAGAGACAGGCGTTTTTGTACTATGTTTTTTCTAATGTTTTTTAAACCATTTATTTTTGTTTTTTGTCTTTGTTTAATTTCTACGTTACACTTTTACGGTCTTTCTCGTGATAAAAAACACAAAAAAGAAATAAAACATAAATAAAAACAAACAAAAACAATAGGTGGCCAACTTAGGACCACTGTAGATTTTTACAAGTTTCAAATTATTACGCTAATAAAAAAATTTAATTAAAAAATCAACAGAACCTCTTATTACAACATTAAATATAGGAACTAGCGCACACACTCATTTAGAAATTTTTAATTATTTATCTCTTGTAGCTGCTCACAATGCCTAGAAGAATCTTAGATTATAATTAGGTCCATAAATTATATCATGGTTTATCAATATATCATACCACAAAATTATAGATTCATCCAGTATACCATCTCTGAGAAATGCAGGGTGGCCAACTTAAGGTACACTCTCACCTCACTGGAGCCATAAGAGTGAGAGAGAAAAAACATTTAATTTGAATTTTCTTACTCTCTTACTCCTATGTGTTACCATGTCAACCTGCAGGCAGGCAGTAGGAGCTGTGCTAGCGCCTTTAGGCCCACGGCCAACTTAGGACCACTCTCCCCTACTAAAAATATTTATTTATGTCATAAAGTTCCCAAAATTTAGAAATATCGAATTTAATCCTTAAAAATGAGTTCTACAAATGTTTAGATTATAACCTGTCGAGAGAAAAAGTTTCATGGTTTCGTAAGAATTTATATAATGTTATTTATATTCGCATTCGACATATTCTGTCCGCCATGTTGAATTTGTGGAAACGCTAAATGGCTTTTGAAAGTTATTATTTTTATTTATTATAATTATGACAAAATTTTTCTGTGCATAATGGGATCAATTTTACGTTGAATAATATGACTCACAGTTTGAAAGTTAAGGTTCATAAAAATAGTTACGTATTCCGCTCACGTATAGGTATAATGTTAATTTAGAATTATAATTTTTCTTTGCACTCTTTAGAAATCTAATCTATTTTATATATTACTAATAGTTGGAAGAGCAAAAGGTCACTCATGCATATTAGTGATGAATGTTTCGTGCGATTTGGGGTCACTATTGTTTTGAAATCTCAGTCTTTCTACACTGAGCCATTCAATAAAGTAATTCTTCGAGCAAAACAAAGTGGATTGATTCGTAAGATTCAGAGAGACATTGAATGGGATGTGCAAAGGTCAAGCACGGGAAGATTCCTGCAGGTGAGACTATAGATTCCAGCAACCATTTCTCTTTTTCTTTATTATTACATTTCGTTTTCAATCTGATTTATTTATTTCATTTATATAGAAACTACGTGCATGCAACTCCTTCAATTAATTAAATCTTAAAAGATGGTTAAGATACTAGCAATTAAAAACTATAATAAAAAATATTCTTTTTTTGTTACTTAAATAAAAGATGTATCTGAAAATAAAAATGCAACAGAAATGTCAAACGTACTTGTCAATTTTACGAAAACAAATTTACAAATTTTTATAAAAGATATATAAATAGTAATGGCAATTTTTTCCAACAGTTGCATGTATAATTATTATCTTGCACTGGAGAAAAAGAATTGTTGAGTAAAGCCATCGTATTGTCGTAATGATAACAAAGGAATCGTTGCTTTCGTTTAAATTATAGACCAGAAGCAATAAAAGCGTGGGAATATTTTTTACTCGAGGTTCGAAAATTATGAAATTCGCTTTAAATCTTAAAGTTTCTAACTTGTTCCGTCTTATATTTTTCAGATGTCAATTACGATTATTTTGTAACAAAATAATTTTTAATTTATTAAGTTACAATTCAATTAATAAAGAATTTTTAAAAATTTTCATTCCGTGTGTATTTGTCAATAATTTTATGGATTTCGGTGAATAATAAAATGAATGAATAACTGACCACGTTCATTTTTTTATCGGGCGCTACAATAAAAAGTAAAATTCAAATACATACGCCCAGAAAAAAGTTAATTATGTACCTATATTTGACTGAGAGCCAACTGGGCACTTTATTTGTTTCAAAGAAATTTTTTTTGGTTTATTTAAAATTGTATTTGGTACAAATAAGAGTTCTATTTATGTCTAATAAAATTTGTATTTAACTCAAATTAATTAGTTTTGGTTTACATAGAATTTTTCCCTGGGTGTGGGTTTTATTTATCATTTTATTAACTGAGTATTTATATGTATAACTAATTTTTACTTAGATAAATATCAGTTGAAATCTCTTAATTTACTTATTGTTTGTTGAATCCGTTTGATATTTTTACTAAGGGTGGCGAACGTTCTCAAGAAAATGCACAAATGTTTTTAATAAAAAATGCAATTTTCCTGATTTCAGGTGATTAAAGGATACACTTCTTCTCTGCCGATCGAAGAAAGAGAATTGGTCTTGGATGATACACAGGGAATGTTTTTGGTCCTGAGTTCCGGCTTTTTAATTGCAATACTTTCACTTTTGTCGGAGTATTTTTGTCACCTAATTATGACAGATTGTGGTAAAAAATTAAAAGTCGAAATCATTCAAGATTTTGATGAAAAGAAAGATTGGTCGCCAAATTTAACAGATGATATGATTATGTCAATTAGATCCATTACAGCCAGGAAAAGTATATAAGTAGGCATTAAAAAGTTTTTTCCCAAAATCAAGTTGAGTAATTTCTCCATCAAGGAGGTAAATAAAAATACATTCTTATAACAAGTAACGTCTTTATTAATAGGAAAATAGGACAGAAGCTTAAGATCATTTCATTCAAAGTTACTGTATTTTTACGTATTTGCAAGATATTTATGTACACGTAAGAACCTTATATGATATTCGAACTTTACTAAAATGAGGCCATACAAAAAATTTTTCCAGCCTCTAATCTGAAAATTAAATGCTGAACTTGAACAGATTTTTGAAAAATGTCCTTTTCTCGTCCTAAATTGATTTCTGTATTAATACATAGGAAAACGCAATGTATGTACAAATGTTTAATATTTACATTATATTAATAATTGTGATTCTAAGCGCGGATGTGTTTGAAATAATCAAGGCCTTGTGCTCTTGGAAGACGCAAGAGAATTTCTTGAGGCAGGTCTACTGTTTTCCTGAGAGCCAGATTTTTTGTCTAGTCTAAAAAAAGGAAGGAAAAATATTCAATTGTTGCAGGTGTTAAAATCTTAATAATAATATTAGTTCATATAGCACGGAATGAGGATCATATCAATTTAAATGAAAGTCATCCCAGCAGGCGATGCTATTAAGTATATTGCCTTTGAAAATTTATTTGGCGGATAAGAGATTATTGTATGTTCCTATTGCGTGATACGAAAATTAGGCTCGCAGTTAAAAAACAATAAAAAAGAATTTTGCATTTTTTACGAGGTAAATAAAATTTTGAAAAAAGTGAAAAAGTGAAAAAGGGAAAGAAACATATTGAATATTAAAAAAAGAAATGCATACCCATTATTTTTGGAGCCTCTCTTAAACATGTCGGTTAATTTCTTCTTCAAGTTTTTCTTATCACGTTTAATGTCCTCGTTAATGCTAACTTCGGAACCCGAGGTCTGCAGAAAAAAGCAAAACAATGTTTAGTCATTGCCTTTTTCCATTTAATATTGATTATTATTTATGTGACATTTACTTGAAGTGAAAACTCGTAGGAACTGTTTGGATCATCAACGCTCGCAGATTTGGTCAACTTCGTCGTCAACTTCTTAATTATTCCCTTGCTGCTCTTATTATCTCTGTGCAACATTTCACTTTTTGTTGATCCACTTGAGAGTCGACTGTAATTAATCAATCAATTTTATTTCCTTTTTCAGTAGTCGTTTTTTGTCTTTATATATAAAGATTCATTAAACTATTCCATATCATGAAAAACTGAATGTTTCTTTGTTCGGTTTCATCAATTTATTAATGTTCATGGTTACAAGAAAGCAGGAATTGAAAAATTTACTAATGGAATCTTGCACCACAAAGAGACTAGGAAAGTGTCGCTGGACATAAATTCTGCGCGAAATCATTCTAATTCAAATTTGATGAGAGTCACAGCTTCCAAGACCTAAATGACCTATAGCACGTACTTTACTGCGAATTATACTATTGTCATTGAAGAATCCCGTTTAATAGCCGAAGAAATGGATTGGGACCTTCAATTTTTACTTCAAATGAATAGTTTGGGGCCGTACACATAATACGTCACGCGATTTTTGACCATTTCTAAATTATTGAATCAGTTAAAAATACCTGATTTAGAAGCAAAAAGTCAGTCACTAATTCAAATAGTAATATTTTTTTCTAACAATTAGTTAAAAATAACTGATGTTTCAATACAATTTTTTTGGTTTGATTCAATTAGTCACGTTTAACTACCTATATATAGCATCGAAACTTTCCTAAAAATTTACTAAAGATTTACTCGCAAGCTTCGAAATATTTAAATGCAAAGTTTAGTTAAAATTGTGGAAAGATATAAATATCCCACTTCAGTAAATGTTTAGCGCGAAACTTTCCTGAAAATTTAAGTTAAATTTTCAGGAAAATTTTCGCGACAATATAGTCGAAAATGCAATTCAAATGTTCAGGAAAGTTTCAAGCTATATTTTTAAGAAAATTTGACGATAGACATTTATTGGAGTGAGAAATTTAAATCTTTACACAATTTTAAAATAAACTTTGCAAGTAAATTTTTCGAATTATGCAAGCCAATCGTTAATATACAATATTTAGAAAAATGTCGGTGTTTTGTGGATAATTTTTCAGTTATTTTTAACTGATTCAGAAGCAAAAAGTCAGTCACTGCTGATTGTCAGTTAAAACCATGATTTTTAACTGATTCAAATTAAGAGAATATATTATTTATCATCATAATATAAATAATATGCCAATAGATGTTAAACAGGTACATAATAGATATTAAATAGTTTAAAGCATTTTTAACTTGTTTTATTTAGAAAAAGTGACATTGTCACATATAATTTCTTATAATCTTTGAATTTAAAAGATTGTGACGTAACACATGAGTTCACCCCCCCCCCCCTCCCCCTAGCCGCGTGACGTATTATGTGTACGGCCCCTTTGATGAAATACAGTCTTGCTGCAAAGAAGTCTGCTACAATTAAAAAACTAACAGCAATCTTTTTCTTTAAAGAAAAAGATTGCTGCGCCCAAGAAGCTGGCTGCTTCATTTAAAAAAAAGCGATAAAGAAAAAGCCTGCAGCAGTACCAATCTATTATTTTACCTATATGTTTTAGTATTTTCAAATAATTCTATTAAATTAAAGTTTAAATTTATAATGTCAATTGGAGCTAGGGCAAATTACTCGTAAAAAATACGAGTAATTTACATCTTAAAAATTGAAAAACAACAACGATCCTGCGGTTCAATTACAAAACCTTAATTAATATCAATTTGAAAACAGTTGACTTAATGCTTTAATTTTTTGTAACCACTTCCTTTGTAACCATATAAGAAATAAAAATGTACTTCTTAATGGAAATTAAAATTTGTATGTTCACATAATTATAACAATTGAAGGGCTACATAAAAAATAAGGGGACGAACGCGAGGCTTGGAAGGGATAGTACCAGTCGGGTAGCAGTGACAAGCCTTGAGCCGCTCGCTGCTACCTGACTGATATTATCCCTTTCAACCACGCGTTCGTCCCCTTATTTTATGTAGCCCTTCAATTACTTGTTTATTCTAAAAGTAATTTGAAAGAAAATTTGTCAATGTTTAAGAAATATTTGATGTAATGTAAAATAAATTATGCATGTTTCAGCTAAGTTTGTAAGTATTTTGAAAATTGAAAAACCATTATCAATAATTTTAAATACCTATCGACGCTTGAATCTCTTGGCAAACTGAAATGTCGAGGATCTCCTTCAGATCCATCCAGTGATTGCATACTGGAAACATTACTATCATTTCCCCATATTGACTGAAAAAGACGAAAGAGTATGGAAAAGATTCAGTAAATATGCAATAGTAAAGAATAAAGAATAGAGAAAAAAGTAAATTCGATTTGAAAATATAATTGAGAGTTTTTAAAGATTGAAATCCAAGCAACAACCTGTTCGTTTTTGCTTGCGGTCTGATCGAGTGAGAGACTCTTTCTCTTTAAAGCTGGTTTACGACTCGCAGTTGTTCCTCTTCCAGTGTCATTGTCGATGGATGTTGACCTGTAGAATACCAGCAGTTTCAGTCTATTTTATCGCAATAATTGCACCAAGTGTAGGTGTGACGACTTTCTGATTATTTTCTTTTCAGACTTATTGATAAAAGTTAAATAAAACTTGTCTTTTTATAAATAAATTCTAAATGAAATGATTCAGGTCTTGAGTTGAAAGTTACCTTTTACCAAACTTTTTAGATCGATTAGAACTGCTCTCGTCCGATTTTTTCGATTCTCGCAATTCTTTTGCAACTTCCATTAATTTCCCGATAGTGTATTCGAGTTTCTCGGCTCTTCCCTCTATCTTTCCACCTACGAGCATGAATAAATAATGAAGTCATAAATATGAGATTTATGAATTTCAGTGCAGAGACGACGCGACATTCTAAAATCTGATTATCGTGAAATACCTTTATCGTCTTTGCCCTCCAACATTGGCGACGATTCCCTCGATTTTGGTCCCTGCAAAAATGATAATAGGACAATATAGATAAATCGTTGGCACGACTTGTTCTAAAATTTATAATGTTTTCCGTTCGCTGTACCTTGAGTCTTCTCGGAGGAGTGGGTGTGTACACTTCTGGGGGTTTATTTTCCGTGGTGCTCTTCAACTCTGGGAATAGTTTCATCAAGTCGTCGACTTGCTGCAGCAGCGTGTTAATGCTGCGAGCTTCCGTTTGTTCTATGTGCCGTTTATTTGCTATGATCGTTTTTAGTTCTTCCCTTTCCCTTTCGTGGCGCTCTTTTTCTCGCCTCATCTTTTCATTGCTTGTTCTCAACTTTGCGTGGGCGTCTCTCAACTCCAACAAGTCGCATTGCAACTGAAATGCATTAGATGCTTTCTTTAAATATCGCCAATATTTATTACAATACATCGTCGTGTATTTAACATTATACATATTTCCTTTTGCTACGTGTAAAATTCAAATAAACCCTAGAGGATGTGCTTTAAAACTTTATTTGGCACCTTATTAATTTTAAACCATTAACGCTGATTAACGCCCAAGCCCAGAAAACTATTTCAATCCATTATTGAATATAACAGTTTTAATATTAAAAAACACAAAAAATTGACATTTTTTCAAATTTAATTCTTTTTATTCCGGAAAGAGTGTACGAATAAAAGTTAATTCTCAACCATAGGTTGTTATTTTGAATTTTTGAAAAGAAAGGTCAGATTTGAGTGAGACGATTTAATCCAATAATTCTTAATTAGCGACCCCATAAACTCCAAAGTAATTTAGTAATAAAATTTAGGCAAAGCCAATGACATTTTGGTAATTTAAAAACAGTGACCAAAACTTTCAACTTTTACTTTATATTTGACGCCATATTTGGTCCGCCATCTTGAAATTTTTAATTCTACTTTACGCTTCTTGAATGTACACAATTTCTATGCTCCTAAAGTTGAGAATTGAGTTTTATTCATACACTTTTTCCATTTAATTTTGGCCTCAGCGAAATTGACTTTCGATACCGGAAGTATCGAAAAAGTAAAAAGAGCACACTCAAGAGCTGTAAGAAACATATACTTAAAAGGGCTTTAAATAAATAATTAAAGATAAATTATTCTTTGTATGACAGTTCTCGAGAAGCGTTTTCTGTAAAAATAACTATATTCAGATTCACTATCAAAAATGGAAATTAATTTCTGAAAAAAATGTTTATTGTTTTCGATGATAAAACGATTTTTATCAATAGAAACGAAAGAAAGTAATGGATAAAAGATTTAATCTCCAATGACCTTGTATTTTTTTCTCATAAACTGTAAAAGCCGCACTTTTCCCAATTTATTCACTTTAATTATTCAATTAAGAATTTGAAAAATAAAAGGATAAATTTAACTCTTACTTCCGTAACAGCTTGCAGATTGAATTAATTATAGTGGTTAAATTTATCTTATCATTCTTCTTAAGCTTGATTGTGAGTTTGATAGTTTATCAAACTTGCAAAGGAGGTTTAGAGCTAGTCTCAGAATTGAACTGTTTTTTATTTATTGTCTTCGTCTTTTAATGTAATCTACTCTTTCTTTTCTTTGCGGACTTTAAATGCGATGTGCATATCGCATTGAGTAATTTAGTTGTATTTTTAAAAGTAGATAGTTACTTCAATAAGCTTCTTCTTATTTTCATCTTTCTCCTCGTCAAAGACTTTCTTCAGTTGATCGTGTCTCCTCTTGTTTTCCAGACGTTCCTTATCGCGTTCCCTCTCAACCTGCAAATGCATTGCGAATTAGTTTGACGTCTCGAAATAATACAGAAAAAGTGTCACCGATTCTTCGAACTCTTTTGTTTTGGTTTCGCAACATTTGTTTCCTTCGGATACAAATCAGAATGGAATATAATTGAAATTATTTTTGTTTTGATTTTAAATTGGAATCATTTTATTTATAAATGTTGCAAAGAAGCAGAAACCAAGACAAAAAAATAAAAAACTGTAAAAAACTAGAAATGGTCCCGCAGGTGTTAAAAATATATTGATTATTAAATTCCAAGGCGAATAAACGCACTTCGAATAGTGTTTGCCGCAAATCTCGAGCGAGCGTTGCTGTTTCTTGAAGCAATCTTTGTTGATCCTCTCGTTCTTTTTGCCAAGCAAGTTCCATACGCACTTTCAATCCCGGCATTTTCGTACGTCCACTCGCCAGCAAGCGTTCCTCCTCCAACTACAATATCAATAGCATTCTTTAATTTAAATACTTTTGCAATTGCATTTATCTTTTTTTCATTTTGTTCTGAATAAGAAAAAACTCTTACAATGTTAGTAGTGAAAACCAATTAGCATAACAGCAGAAGTGTTTTCTGATAGATTTTGTATTAAAAATAATAGGGAACCACATACTTCATTAATTTGAGATTGCATTTCTGATAATTTTATCTGCCATGCTGACTTTTCGGACACTAATTCAGTCTTCAATTTGGAAGATTCAAGCTTTGCTTCTGAAAGTTCGTCTTCCATAGACATAATTTGTTTCTCTAGAACTGCTGTGTTAATTAGTGCTGATTCTTCATCCTGCAAATAATAATAATATCTAACTCTGATTTGGTGATACATTGAGTAATGAAAACAATAGACCACATTTCACTATACTTGCATGCTGGTTGTTAATATATATTCTTTAATATGTATGTAATAATAAAAATCATCTTTTCCGCAAATAATAATTGAAATAATAATTGAAATCGTAAGTGTAATGTAATAGAAATATGGGGAGAAGATATCGAAAGCATATTTGTTAAATTAAAGAATGTACCTCATCAGTTGATTTGCCAGTCGATGTTGTCGAATGCCGACGTTGCCTCGCAATCTTGAGTTCCGCGATAGTTTTTTGTGCACCCTCCAACATGTGCTTGTACGTGTCCCGTTCGCGTTTGTACCTTGTAAGCTGTGTTTGTATGGACTGGATTTCGTCATTGATCGCCGAGATCCTGTGCTCATAGCGCATCTTACATTGCGCGAGATCAGCTTTCTTTGCCTTTTCAGCATTGGCGAGAGCATTTTTCGCCTTTCTTAACTCAGACTCCAGTACCGAGGAATCTGCCGAGAAATTTCGCTGGATTTTCGTCACGGAGTTGTAATCGTTTAGCTTACTGTTCAAGTCATCATTCTGAAAGGGAAAAAATATTGTAAATTGTCAACTTCACGTCGCTTTGGAATTTTATTAAAATTCCTCAACTCCTCGACCCTTTCAAATCCGTCTCTTTATTTTTCTCTCATTTTGTTGTGTACCGTTAGAAAAATATCAAATGTTTGTTTTTTACAAATTAAATAATTTGTAATTGAGTGAATTAATCAATTAGGGGACAAATTGAGACTTACTGCATTCTTCAAATCATTCAGTTGTTCTCTCAAAGAACCATTTTCATTTCTGAGATGACTTATCTCTTCCTTAATTTCTTCCTGCGACTGAACACTGCCAATTCTTTCCAGTTCTCGAATTTTTTCCTGAAATTTAATATCTTATCAGATGAAAAATTTGATATTTATCTTTATGGAGGTCAGTGCCCTCTATAGGTCATGACCGCTTTCTGAAGAATCTCCAAATTATACACTTACACTTGAATCTAGATATAACGAGCTAATAGATTCTCACTACTACGAACCAAAAAACTTGGTGTTTTTCCCCACTTGCAGTGGGACAAAATACCAAAACAATGTCCAAAACTATCAAATACTATAATTATAATTATGTTTACGGAACGACTTTAAATTAGAAATGATACGTCTGAATTACAAAATTTCAATCTAATTCGATAAATATTTTAAATTATTTTTGTTCTTCATTTTGAATTTTTTAAAAATAATATCGGATTTGTAATCAGCGACGCCGAAAACCCTCGAGTAACGAGTAACGATGAGTTTCGAGCGAATTCATGTCGTTTAAAGAATTTAAATATTAAATTAAAGTCTCTTATAATTTGTAATTTTTTGCAAGAGTCCGTAAAATGTGATATTAAAACCACATCGAACGGATTAATAATTAATTTTCCTGGTGACTAGACACTGACCTCAAAAGCAATCCTTTTCGAATTCCAGTCTTTGTCTTTGGATTTTAAAGTCTTTTGAAGATCGCTCAGCTCCGTCTGAACGGCATTAATTTTAGCTTGTTGATCTATTGAACGACTGAAAAAATGGAGAAACTTTTAATAATTATTCCCACATTCATCAAGAGTTGATTGCTTAGGAAAATTAAATTTACCTATTTAACGCCTGATTTTCTACATTTAATTGATTACTGGATTCTACAAGTTTTTCATGTTTCGCACTCAATTCGTCGAATTGCTGCAAACCCTTCTTCACTTCATTTTCAAGATCTGCAAAAGTATTTACATTCCCTCAACATCATTAATAATAATTGTGTAACTTAATTAAATCTTATTTCCTCTCTATTAGAAAAATTTCAACTTAGTTGTAGCTTTCAAAAAATCGAATTTTGTTTTTTATTAAAAGCGTTTTTTTCAAAATGATATCCGTCATTTTGATCAGGATTACTAGAAAAATATTAAACCGATTTTCTTGAAATTCAATATAATTAAGCAGATAGCACGTAATCTTGCAGCAATATTAATCAACCAGGCAATATTGCAATCAGCTTATTATGCAATATTGCGGCAAGCTACGTACTTTTGGGTAAAAATACACTGAAAAAAAGTTCTGGTTGGAATTACCAGAAAACCTGTTTTTAACTAGAATTTCATGTTAAATATGCCCTAACTAGATTTTTTCTGGTTAGGCTAACCAGAATTCTGGTTGTTTTAACTAGAATATCGTGTTAAATATACCCTAACTAGAACTTTTTTTTCAGTGTAGCATTTCCTAAAAGAATTTAATGGTTTATTAGAAAGAAATTCTAGAAAACGGCCTTTTTTCGCGTTACAACTGGTGTACGCGCCCCTTAAAGTATTCGTTCTTTTATTAATTTTAACTTGCAAACTTTAAGTTTATTATTAATTACATTAGAGTAAATATATTCATCCTTAAAAGAAAGGAAAGACTGAGAACGCAGTTGATACAAGTGGACAACGACCAAGTTATAAATTTTGAATTTATTTGAAATTCGGTAAAATAACTGTCTTTTTTTCAAACAATACATACAAGAGACTTTCTCGAAATCGTGTCAACTGTTCCCATTCTTGCCCTATTAACGAGGTCGTAATAGAAATTATAAAACCTTAGTATATCTCACTTAATATTCTTTCGTTGTACGATTGTTTCAACTCATTCATCTTTTTAGTATTCAAGCCGGTTTTTTCTAAGGAATTAATTTTTTTCTTAAGAGTACTAATTTCCAAGTCTTTTGATTCCTTGTCCTTCTCCAGCAGACTCTTCAATTGGTCCTTCTCCCTTTTTGTTCTATCAACACTTGCATTTAAATCGGCAATTGTTTTTGATGTCGAAAATTTGAGGTTTTCAATTTCTTGCGCCTTGAGATTGAAGTTGGTCTCAAATTGTTGTTTCGCATGTTCAACCTGTTTTGTCATGTATAAAATTACATGGAAATTGATTTTTAATGACGCAGATAATAAGAATTGAAAAAAATACTACCGTAGCTAATGTTTTTGTAATTTTGGCCTCTTTTTCACTGACCAATGCTAAATCATCCTTTAATTTTTGGTTTGTTTCCTTTTCGTCTGAGAGTTCCTTCTTTAAATCGCTTAAAACTGTTTCCATTTTTGCGTTATCTTTCTTGGACGTTGTATTTGCTTCTGAATAATAAGCGAAATGTGAATAGTTGACTTGAACATTTTTTCAATTTCTAATATTTCGCTGTTTTTCTAAAATAACTTACCGAGTTCCTTTTTCAGTAAAACAACTTCATTGGATATTTTCAGTTTTTCTGCAGAGAGGGACAAAAGCTTGGTCTTCAATTTTTCCTTTTCCTCTTGTAATTTCCCTTTCTCAGTGTCCCAAGATTTTCTCTCAATATTTGTTGATGCGATCGTGTCATCCAATTTCTTCTTTACTAAATTTTATTTTATTATTTTATGTGATCCTGTCCCAGTTAGCACGTAATATTGCCGCAAGCTTGCATTAAACATGTTACATGCGGCAAGCTTGCTGCTATAGATTACTTGCTATCTGGGGTTTGACTTATTTTCTATTCATCTATTCATTCATTATTCATTATTCATTATTCTTACTAGTTTGAATTTCGCTACTTTTTCCATCGTCAGTTTTTGTAATTTTCAATTTCTTCGTCTCCTTTTCAGTGGCCAATTCCTTCAGCACCTTTTCCAGTTTTTCTTTCAAGAGTTCATGTTCCTTCGATAATGTATCATATTTCAAATTGGTGTCATTTACTTTTGAATTTCGAAAACCAGTTCCGCCACCATCAATTGCAGTCACTATCATGCCAAGAATGTCACCTGAAATTGATTTCATTCATTTATTTAAAATCAATTTTGTTCATCCTTTTCAGCACTGACACAATGAAATTAACGAAGAATGAGTTATTTCCAGCAATTAAAGTTAGATTATAATTTATAAATGATTTTGAAACATTATTTTTGAAGAAGAAATACCAACCTATATCCTTATCTATAGCGTCCATCATCTTCTTGAGATGAACTTTCGATTCTAACTCAATATTCCGCTTGGGTAATTTGTTTTTATATTCGGTGCCTACTTTTTTCAACAGATCCTCCAGTTTTTTTGCCTGAAAAGTGCAAAAATGGGGTTATTTAGGGAAAATTTGAAAACATATTTAGAGAAATATTTGAAAAAGCAAAAAAGAAGATGGTACTTGGTCATATTTCTTCTCCAAATCAACTTTCTCAGTCTCCAATTGCTCGGTCCTTCTCTCAACTTTTCTCAGCTTGAACGAAAGAATTCGACAATTTTTATTTGACTGCTCCAAATTTTTCCTGAGACTCAAATACTCGTCCGCCTGCTCCTCCCTGTAATGTTACATAATGTCTTACCTCAAGCATAATCCCTGATGAAAGGCTACAAATAAAATGATTGAGATCATAAAAATGAAATAATGGGTAATAAAAGAAGTCTTGCCTGAAGTTATCTTGCATCTCGTAAATTTCTTCTTCCAATTCTCGAATTTCTTTCTTCATGTCTTCGTTTTCATCCATAAGAGTCTCACACAATGTTTCGGCTGCCTTCAATTTTGACTTTAATTCCTCGTTCAATTTTTCCCGTTCATTTTTATTTGTTTTCACATTTAACTCTTTTTCCAAACTTTTTACTTTTGACGTTAGACTGCCTTTGTCTTCGCTAAGGGCTGTAAAAAAGTGAAGAAACCATTAATTTTTCTACATCGGATCACTATCTAATGGAATGCATTCCAGATGACAGTAGATTTCTATTCAGACCTATCGGAATGGAATTCGCTTTTTGCCCTAGGTTTTTATCAGGATTTAATCTCATTTATGCTGGCGGAGTTGACAATCTAATCGGTTTCTACTCAGATTTTATACCTATTTTATATTTTATATGAAAATGAGAATTTTTGCATTGTTGCAAAAATTCCGAAAAACCCTTATAATAATCCGAGTTTTTTTTTGAATTTTATTCCAGTAAAAAAAAAGTAAATACTTATGGGTAAATAAATTTTTATTTTAATCCTAAGTACCTACACACAGGAAATTTGAGATCGATCCGGTGAATATTATCGTAGTTACACTCATTTGCAAAGACTTTATTAGAAGTAGGTAGCCGGCACCCTCCAGAAGCATGGTGTGACAGTGTTCCTTTTATGCCTGCGAACACATGTCCCGTTCCCAAACTTGCCAATATTGAAGAGTATCAGTCAGTCTAGTAGTATACTCGCCAGTTTTTGTATATTTCGTGAAAATGAATAATGAAGGGTAGCAGAGAATTGAGAGCAACTTCCAATATACGAAACAGCGGAATGAAGTTTTAGTGCTTCGGCCAAAAAACTCAGAAAGCAAGACGAAATCTTTGTCGAAATCTCTTAGATTCGTCCGTTGAATATAGAATTTTGATCTTCATTACAGTGTTCGCAGCAATTTCCGAATACGTAAAGTGTAAAAACTGTGACGAATGTGCGGTTCGTTCTATAAATTCTAGTCCATAGTCGACCATTCTTACGAGATAAATAGATGTTTTTTATTTGTCATGAGAGTACTCGGACTGGGCTTGAGAGGCGCAACAAAATTTTGTGGATTAATGAACATGCCAACTTCTATAACACGGTCCGCTTACGATTCAATTATGAAAAATATACATTCCTGTGTGAAGACAGCCGCCGAGAAACTTTTCTAAACACTTGTCCTGAGGAGAAAAAATTGACTTCTGATGAAAACTCTACAGAATTGGCAGTATCTAGCGAAGGAACCTGGACAGAGTTCTATGGAGTGACATCCTTGGTCGGATGCTAATCTGGAAAAATCATTGATAATCTAGTGAAAATTTCTAATTGTAAACAGTGTGAAACTTGGAGCAAGAAACGCGATACTGCGGAGTACAGCGAGTGGTATCAAGAGCGTCAAGATGTTTGCAGTGTAAGTTCAGGTTCTTCTGGCAAAATGGAAGTAGATGCTGTAGTCGAAATGTGTAAACGATCGGAGGAAATATTTGGAGTGCAGTACAAAAATTACATCGGAGACGCAGACTCTGAAACGTACACGGGGATTTTAGAAGCCGCACCTTACGGTGATAAACAAGTTCTAAAGAAAGAATCTATATAACACGTTCAGAAAAGGATGCCCTGGTAAAAATTTCGGACTAATTCCGGATTAAATACGGACAGATTAGTACGGATTAGTACGGATTCAGTCCGTAATTAGTCCGCAACAATCCAAACTTATGACCGGTGAAGAATTCTTCTAAAATAAGTACGGAATTATCCGATATCAATATGTAAAGAATACGGAATCAGTCCGCAACAATCCGAGTTTCATCTAGTTAAAAAAACTTAATCCGAAAATGTCCGGAGCAATCCGAACTCTGTAAGCAAGAAATCCGGTATTAGTCCGCAACAATTTGAAATTAAGTGTGGCAAAATCCTATTCCGAAACAAGTACAAAACAATCCGAAAATTGTCTGCAACAACCCGGATTTAATCCAACTAAAAGGTATAATCCGAAACAAATGAATTATGAATTAAGTCCGTAAAATTATTACACAACAATCCGAAATTATGTCCGTCAAAAAACTCATCTAAAATAAATACGAAATAATCCGAAATCAACATGTAAATAATACGAAATCAGTCCGCAACATTCCGAATTTAATCCAGTTAAAAGATTTAATCCGAAACAAGTATGGAACAATCCAAAATCTGTATGCAAAGAATCCGGTAATACTCAGCGTCAATCCGAATAATATCCGATCAAAAGACCCCAGTCCGAAAATAAGTCTTATTATTATAAGAATTTGTAAATATGTACAATCCACAGACAGTTCAAAACAATCCATATTCAATCCAATTCAAAGAATATTGAATTTGTATATTAAAAACAATTTGTATTAAATGCAGATAAATTCAAACTATAATTATAATTTCGTATGACAAAAACCTGACCAAAACAAGATTAATTCCGGATTTAATAATTTCACACTTCCAAGTTGCGTATTATCAGACTAACTTTGGACTAGATCGGACTAATTCCGGATTCACTGGTTATACAAAAACCGCATTTTGAGTTTGAATTTATGAGCGACAAAAACCTGTCCATAATTATGCAAACTGTTTCGGATTAGCTGCGGATTCACTGGTTAAACTAACCGGATTACTTCTGCATTTACTAGTCGCATATGATCTGACTAACCACTAACTGCAGACTAAACCGGACTAATTACGGATTCAATAGTTATAAAAAACGGTCCCACTTTTTATTCAGGGTATTTACTTATGGTAAATAAAATATTTAATTCTGCAGTCAATTTGTTTTTACAAATTTACTAGTATTATTAGTTATCTTGTTTCAATATTAAAATTAACACTGATGTGTTTGTTTCTTGTCATTGCTTTTCGTGGCACTTCATAAATTCTATTATGAATTTGAACTCCCATGCGATCGTGGTATAGTGGTTAGTGTATTCGATTTCGGTGCGATATAATGTTAGATAGGTGTAGGTTCGAATCCCCAAGCGTTAGAAATTTTAAGTTAATGTAAATAAAATTGCGATAGGTATATCGAAAAATATGTTGAATGTACCATAAAGTAATAATAATTAATACGTGTTACTTGTATAATTATTTTTTTATTAACATTCACTAAATTGTCTGGACTAATTTTTGACTGTTTCGGACTAATTCCGGATTCACTAGTTAAAATTAACTGATTAATTTCGGACTTCATCGGACCAACTCCGGTTTTACTAGTTGTTCACAAACCGTATAGAGTTCGGATTTTTCCGGATTAATTTCGGGTGACAAAAACCTGACCATAAACCGAATGGTTTCGGACAAATTTCGGATTAGTCCGAAATCTGTCCGGTTTTTTAACCAGGGTGGACACGCGACTCCGAAACTATGCGAAAAAGAATTTGGAAATGGTTCCGGTTGATTCAAAAATTGTGGAAATGGCTGCGAACATAGCTGCCGGGGTATTTAATGAAGGTACAGCAGCACTTTTGTATTACACGAGAGCAATAAGAATTTCACTTGGGCCCAACGCGCATTCATATGCCGGAAAAGAGGATGAAGCGCGTGGCGATCGCCGACATAAGAGCCCGTTTGAGGATAGATGCGAGTTATTGGAAGCTGCTGAAGGAGCGGAGGGTTTATTACATGGCCCTAAAACAGAAACAAATATTTTACTATAGGGAATATTTATACTAATTTATATTTATATTAATATACGAAGGAATCAATTACCGAGTTGATACCAGTTGTCAAGTCATATGGTGCCTATTTGCGCACGTCTGCATGAAAAGGGACCATTTTGGCACTTTTGAATAAATCACTATATTTTTGATTATAAGTATATATAAATACGCATCTTTATTCTTGAATCAAGAAGACTAGAGACAGGAGGTAAAACTTCGGTAGTAGGCATTTCGTTTCGAAAAGTGCTACGGTGCAGTAGACTTTTGCACGTCCAAATTCTTTTATTGCCGTGTGTATAGAATATATTTCCCAGTATTTACATGTGTTAGATATATGCAAAAGCCCATTGCAACCTATAGATCTTTTTGGAATGAAACGCCTGACGAAAGGCCAGCTGAAAAACTTTTCTAATATAAATAATTTTATGTCCATTATTCACGAAATCAGAAGAATATGGCACCATTTGCTATCTTCCATCGTAATGTGACTATAGTGTTTTTTCACTTCTAAAATTAGCATATTTTTTAATATTTTAAAAAATTCTTTATTACCATCAAATGTAGAAGAAAGCAAAGAATTAATTTTTTATGTATCATTTTTAATTTAAAATTTATTATCTTTACAAATTAGGTATAAAATAAAAGTACTAACTAACAATGTAGACATTAATAATTTTAAACAAACCAAGATGGGGTGATAGGGATAATCCATGCAATAGTCGGCCACTTAAAAAAGCTTTCAAAAACCATCCAAAAATTTTTTTTTTCTATTACAAAAGTTTATATTTGTTTATGATCACCTTAGAAATGATTAGCAACAAACAAAATATTTTTATCTCATACGGTTTTATAGCTATTCAAAGTTGAAAAGTGTCCGACTACTGTCTGGTTTACCCTATATCATTTTAACGAAAAGTTTTTGTTTTTTTTCATTTTGTTGATCCAGTACAGAGATATATATCGTGCTCACAGTTTGCCGCCTTTTGCAGCAACTCCTTTTTAGAGGAGTTATCAGAGATCCTCGATAGCAGCTTTTAAAACCGCTTAAGTTACTAACATGTTAAAAAATATTGATAAAATTTGTTGAATTGTTTACAAAAATTTTTAAATAACAAAAAAGTAGAAAGAAAAGTTAAATTATGTATTTTTATATTATTTAATAATTGAAGGGCTACATAAAATAAGGGGACGAACGCATGGTTGAAATAAGGGATAATATCAGTCAGGTAGCAGCGAGCGACTCAAGACTTGTCACTGCTACCCGATTGGTACCTAAGTACTAATAAAACCGCTGGACTGATGTCCCTCTAAAGTTTTGAACGTTCAAATGAACAAAAAAACATTTATTATAAACTGAAAGTAAGTGTAATATTTTGTAAAAATTAAAATTGACAGAAAGTGAGGTGAGACGGGTAAATAAGTTTTCTCAATCTTGAGTCAACTTTAGTTCTAAATGTTTCCTCGCATTTAATAAATGTGAACGTCCATCACATGAAAAAGCATTTTGGCACTATTGGACTTATCTACATGGGCGAATTCCTTGCAAAATTTGGAAAATTTTGAGTGGTCATAGAACTTTTTTGGTAGATAAATAAATAAAATATACATATACCCTCATTTTTGGCTTGAAGTTCCTTGACAGATTTTTGCAATTTCATCACTTCATTGCTGGTACTCTTGCTGTTGGATACAGAATCGATTGTTGATAAACGACGAAGAAGAATTTCGCTTTTTTCTTTTTCCACTCTTTCGCACCTCATTCTCAAATCAGTCAATTGTGCCCTGAGTTTTTCAATTTCATTCTGTAATTATAGAATTTCATTCACTTAACTACAAATGTTGCTGATGTAATACTTCCTGACTATATTCTGTTTTTAAATCAAAGAACCGTATATGTATATTTCCACTATTACCTTTTCTGTTTTACCACCTTTTCCATTTACGGCTTCAACGGTATTTCCTTTTTCACTTTTCGATGACACGCCACTTTCAGTTGAACGTGGTTTTCTGACCTGAAATAATTAAATTTAATTAATTTAAACACTTTCTTTCCGATTGAAAAAAAACTTCTTTAGACCTTGAAGAACATGAGTTATTTAATCATTTATCGAATTTCTTGTCGGGAATTGAATACTGGAAGAAAATAAAAAGTATAGGGTTTTTAAATAAACAGAAATAGTAAGTGTAGTTTAATATACGAATCAAATTCGAATTTAGAAAGTGTGAAAAATTGATCGGGGTGATTTGCTTTGAAAGAATTTCGGCAATCAAAAACTTTAATATACATACAATTAATTATGTACATTAATCATCAGTCTTCTAAATGGAGGCCTCTCAACATTTTAACAATCTTGAAACACAGAAAGAAAATTGGCAGACGGCCAGAGTACGATATGTGTCAGTTATCTTGAAAGTCTTAGAGTTGAGAACCCCAAAAAGTATTATATTATAGATCATGGACGTTCACATATTTTTCGTACTTATTCGTTAATAAAATGTATGGACTGCTTTAAAATTGGGCAAAGTGCCAGAGAATTTTCTTCTTTTCATTCTCATCATAAATATGGGGCAAAATTTCACAAGTGTTCCAACCTCAAATGTAAAGATTTTGTTGAAACAGTGGATTTTTTAAAATTCTAAAGGTTTTCGCTGCTTTCTTGAATGGATGAGTATACAGTTTTTTAAAAAAAGTGTCTAATTCATTAATTACCAAATACATAATTATTATTCGTCCAATATTTTCATTAAAGGTATATCATAAAATATTCTTTTTTTTGTAAATGCATATAACTTTTATAATATAATTCAAATTTGTCCTTTGTTCAAAAATAAAAAGATATTTTGAACAATAAAAAGCTCTTTCTCACCTGTATAATGTATTCAGCATCCGTATCAGAAGCATTGCCGTTACTTTTATTAATAACTTCTCTAATTTGTAGTTTTTGTGGCCTATCAATGACACTTTCATCAACTGAATGTCGTCGAAAATTAAAACTATCTGACTGCGAGCCGACGTACGTTTTTGGTCTTGTTGTTGTCGGTTTATGTTTATCAGTTTTAACAAATTGTTCGGTAGAATTGTCTTGAGTGGAGGTGAGGTCTAGTGCCGAGTTCCAGGTGACAGTTACTTCCGGAGTGTAGCTTTTTGACTCGTCTTTTAATAAATTTGACGTTGACGCCCACGTTCTTTTGCTGTCGGAATTCCCTGCAAAGCTGAATATCCACAACATTTTAGTATAAATGCTCACCAGTTTATTCGCAAACAGACGTAATTAATTTTTACTCCTTAAGGGGATACCGCTTAATTTTCATTTTGCAAAACCAATTATTTTTATTTTCTATAGGAAAATTCTAGATGCTGTGAAAACGAAAGATATTCTAACGAATATAGCTGTATATAGGTATAAAACATTAATTGTAAGTTAATTTTTTATGGACGTTTATAAATTTTATATTCGATTTATCTTCATCAGTTTATAATTATATGCACCGAACGTGAATTATTTAATGAGGTGTTACTACTTTTAATTTTAAAATCTTATTCTTAAGTTAAAATCAAAAAAGTTTTGTCAGATTTATAAAGATCTGAATGCAATACGGTGTTCCTTCAAATTAAAAAAATTTTACAAATGATTACAAAAATTAAAAACAAAGCGCCTACCAAATATGAAAACTATGAGAATAACTTTTATTATAAGTATTAGAAGATTATGCAAAAATAGATGCATCTTCTTAGATTATAATTATAACTAAATTTTTAAAAAAAGAATATCAGTATGAATGAAAAAATAAATGTAAATAATGAACCTCATGTTGGAATGACACGTGAAGTGGTCCCTTTCAGGAGAATCAACCATGTATATGGGGCATTCCACGCCAAGTCGGACACCTTTTGACTTTTGCATCTCCGATTTTTTTCAAATATTTTTTTTCTTTTAGTGCTGGTTGAAAGGAACTTCCATGATTTTTTTCAAATTTTTTCATGAAGTAATTTAAGAGATCTGGGTTTTTGAAAAATCACGTTTTTTACATAAATTTTTTTTTTAAATGCTTATAACTCGGACAAAAATTGATCAAATTGGACGTTCGATATATGAAAATTTTTGTTTTTACACGTAGTTTTTGATAAAAATATTTAAAAAAAATTTTTTTTTAATTTACCACAAAAATTTTAAATTTTAAAAATAAAATTTAATTTTTAAGAATGTATGTATCGATCGATTTTTTTCAAAATTTTTTGTAAGAAACTGGTACTAAATTAAGAATTTTTAATCCTTGTCTGATTGTGGGCAAACGATGGGATCTATTTATTTTGAAATTTTTAATTTTTGTAAAACGGTAGGTAGCCAAATGCCTAACTTGCAATTTGATCAAATCACTTTTTTAAACAGTAAGAAGGTTAAGTTCGGAGAGACTCAGTCTGAAAACAGTTTTGGTTTGAAAAATTTGCGTGATTTGGTCAAATGTCAAGTTACGCATTTGGCTACCTACCGTTTTCACTGCGTATACAAAAATTAAAAATTACAAAATAAATAGATCCCATCGTTTGCCCACAATCAGACAAGGATTAAAAATTCTTAATTTAGTACCAGTTTCTTACAAAAAATTTTGAAAAAAATCGATCGATACATACATTCTTAAAAATTAAATTTTATTTTTAAAATTTAAAATTTTTTTGGTAAATTAAAAAAAAATTTTTTTTTAATATTTTTATCAAAAACTACGTGTAAAAACAAAAATTTTCATATATCGAACGTCCAATTTGATCAATTTTTGTCCGAGTTATAAGCATTTAAAAAAAAAATTTATGTAAAAAACGTGATTTTTCAAAAACCCAGATCTCTTAAATTACTTCATGAAAAAATTTGAAAAAAATCATGGAAGTTCCTTTCAACCAGCACTAAAAGAAAAAAAATATTTGCAAAAAATCGGAGATGCAAAAGTCAACAGGTGTCCGACTTGGCGTGGAATGCCCCATATATTCTTTTAATTAATCTATAGTAAATACTCACCTTTTTGATGATTGTTCCCGAGGTGATAAAGTAGGTGTCGATGATGTTGTATCTTTAATGCTTCTGCCTTTTCCCACATGATCTTTGTAATCCCTGGCAAACAGAATATATTAGTCAAAATGCAATCTAATCTAACATGAAAAAGAGTATAATCATCAACGTATAATATAATTGTATAAATTTAAATCTCCGTAGCTGCAATATTTAATATTAAAAAACATGTTAATTCAATCTAAACATCAGTCTAATTTTGTACACACAAAAAACTTGATTTAAAAATTAATAGGCAATTATCCTTTTTCTTAAAAATATTCATGTGTATAAGTTAAAAAGTTATAGTGACTATGTAGAATTTTTTTCTAAATTTCACAAAAAGTATACTTTAGACAGAAAAACACTTCTTTATACACTTTAGTAGAAATGACATTTTTAAAAAAACTGTGATGTGGTTGGGATTTAATTTAAAATAACGAAAAAAAGTAACATGAACAACTTTGATGGGGCTCAATATATAACTCTGTCAGTGACATCATTGTGAATCTTAAATTGGATGTCTAAGACAATTAATATAAAAAATTTGTTTAATTTACCCGACTGTTATATTGTATTAGCTGTCTTTAATTTTATCTTGAAAAGTCGAATTCTTATTTAGATAAATAAACATATTAGAGAATTTATATTTAACCTTGGATATTATATTAAGAAAATGTCGCCGAAACATTATGTTTGTTCAGACGAAAAAATATGTTTATTGTGTTAAAAAGTTGACGTTATTAATTCTCAGTTTATCGAAATTGTGTAGTCAAAAGTGACCACCAAAAACTTGAGATTATAAAGGGACGAGCAGGGGGTTTGAATAGCGTCGTTCAGCGTTCTGCGTTCAGCATGAGTTAGGAAAACCAGAATATAAAAGAGGACCCCCGTTGCTGTACCAGTCTACTGCCTACATAATAACAAAACCATTGTCGAAAGGTGAGGACCAATTTTCCGAAACATCAACCTCAATAACGTTGTGTAAAATGCCAACAATCATTTTAGAAAACAGTTAAGACCTCCAGATTAATAATCATATTCAAGTACTACGAGAACAGAATTTGGTTTTCACGATAAAACTTTTGGTTATAGTATTTACGCTTATGATGGGAAAATCACTTTAAAATTTCGAAATAACACTTTCTTCGAAGCGCATTTGTGCATTTGCCCGTGTAGAAAAATTTCTTGGCGCTAGCTAGCAGTGCTAGATACATGGTAAATTTACATGGAGTCTAGCGCTGCTAGCTTGCGCCACGAAATTTTTCTACACGGGTGTGAATAAAATAAATAGAGATGCGCGGTTTGCTCCATCATTAAAAAGGGCATCACATAATTATCTTTTTCTATAAGAATTATCAAAAAACTATGATACAGTCAACTCTATGAATAGTGCCGCAAAATTGCACAGCGTTTACGACTTTTCTTGGAACTGAGTTCTTGGTGCTGAGTCGCTAAAGTGGGGATAGAGCTCGAGCGAGAAAGAGGAGAAGTGGCACTATTGATAGCGGCACTATTCGTAGAGTTGACTGTAATCGATTTTTTGAACCTTACCCTGTTGGAGGGTCCCTCGCATATATTTTGATAATTTCAATAACTTTTTACTTTATTTTTGTTGGAAATATTAGAGCTTGATAAGATGAATCAGTTCCAAAAGGTTCTACATTAATTTATTAAATGGATAAATAATTATTCCAATTTGAGTGCCCGATTTTTTACAATATCTTTATCTATACTTGTCCCTAATTCTAAGACGCATTATCATTTTTCATTAATAAGACAATTGGCACATCAAAATGACTTATGGGAAATAAAAGTTCAAGTTATTAGAATTATTTTGAGACACAGTAAATTGATGTGTTTCGTGTCTTTAAAAAACTGTTGTAATTTAAATAACTAAAAACACGTGCGTATAAAATTTAAATTTAAAGTGACCGTAATTCGAGTGATACTCCACGAAAATCAAATAAAAGTATTTGAAAAGTACTTGCATATATTTTCGCATGTGCTATTTAACGTCCCGTGAATGTGCTTCAAGAAAAAATATTTTATTGCAATGATAATGTAAAAATATTTGTCAATTAACGGTCGACCGTAATAGATCAAAAGTTTTTAGAAAAGAAATTGTTAAGTATGAAGTTGTTGACTCTCACTTTTTTATAGAAACTGTTAATAAATAAAACTGAAGGTTAAGTTTCAATGTTTATTTTGATTTTTGTAAGTAATACAGATTTTTTCTAGTAATAATATAATAAATATAAAAGTAATACATTGTATAATAATATAATTGAGGGGCTGGATGCTATAATGTGTTACGCGCCATGTTAAGTGAATGGCGCGTAACACATTATAGCATCCAGCCCCTCAATTATTAATATAAATTATAACCCATCAGTTAATTACTTTCAACTTTTTTCGATTCTAAAAAACAAACACCTGTTAAATATATTTTTTTCCATGTTAAAAATAATTCGCAATTTTAAATAGTTTATAACTGAACTGTCATTTTACCGAATTGCATTTATCCGAACTGTTATTTTAACGAAATGTCACTTTTGCGAATCGACATTTTTACAAATTGTCACTTTTGCGAAAAGTCATTTTAACGAATCATCATTGTTCCGAAATGTCATTTTCTCAAATAGTCATTTTTACGAAATGTCACTTTTGTGAATCGACATTTTTACGAATTGTCACTTTTGCAAAAAGTCATTTTTGCGAAATATCATTTTTACGAATTGTCATTTTTACAAATAGGTATTGTTCCGAAATGTCATTTTTACGAAAATGGTTATAAGTAGTAAACTTGTATAAAAATGACAATTCGTAAAAATGACAATTCGAAAAAAATGGCAGTTCGCAAAAATGACTTTTCGCAAAAGTGACAATTCGTAAAAATGTCAATTCGCAAAAATGATATTTCGTAAAAATGACAATTCGAGAAAATGACGTTTCGGAACAATAACGATTCGTAAAAATGACAATTCGTATAAAAATGATATTTCGCAAATGTGTCAATTCGTAAAAATGTCGATTCGCAAAAGTGACATTAATTTCGTTAAAATAACAGTTTGAATAAATGCAATTCGTTAAAATGACATTTGGGGAATAATCATGCGCCTCTATGTTTTATTTTCTATTCTTTAATATTTTTATAAATTTAATAGACTCAATTACTTATTATACATACTTAATAAATTGTCATTTTTTGAATTCAATAAATAATAAGTGATTTGTATGAAAAATGATTTTTAAATGGTTCAAAATACTAATTTGGTTAAACTCAACATTAAATAAAAATTTTCTTTCCCGTATAACCAAATGAATTCTATGCATTTATTAAAATGAAGAAAATTTGTATTTGGTTTTTTATTATTTACAAAACAAAACTCTTTTAACATGACAAATAAAATGGGTTAATTCGACAGTTTTGGTTTAGTAATAGAAGAATTTAAATTTGGATTATAGTCGGAAAGCGTTTGACTCAAATTGATCTCTCTCGCAACCACTCACAACAGTGGAGAGTGAGTGAGAGAGAGAGAGAGAGATGCGAATCGAGAGAGAATCGTGAATAGCCCAATAATTGTACGTTTTTGCGTAAGTACTTTATTAAATCACTCCCCATTTCACTTGAAGTGTTCTTACGAATCTTATGGTGTCCAAATGATTTGAAATTCGAGCACGAAAACTAAATTTCGGTAAATTTCATATTATTTTGCATGCAAAAGAATATGTGTCATTATCCGCGCTACATTATAGGGTTTTACATATCAATAAAGCCTTCTTGGAATTGAATTAAGTTACTTAGGAAATAGAATCTTCTTCTTATTGCTCCTAATTTCAAAATTTTCGGAAATACATGAATAAGAATTTCTGAAGCGGAGCCCTAATTATTATTTGACCTGTGTCCCATAATTAATAAACAATTTATGACCAAATTCAATGGTAAATATTCTGCAATTCATTCTTCAACATTTACCATTGTTATTCAAATGCTTCCAGAATTTACCCAGATATATGTATATTATGTAATTTGCCGCAAGATTAGGAAGCTTGTCGTGTAAGCTTGCCGCAATATTTATAAATTTTAAAAGCATAAAAGGAAGCAGAAAAATAATTAAAAAATAATGAAAAAATGAAGAAAAAAGTATGTCCGTTTGGAAGTGTATAGGTTTCCATCTGAGTAGTTCCGTTTTCTTTCTTCGAAGAAAGGCTCTCTTGTAAAAATAGATACATAATACGTATCTAATTCCCTCTCTCATTTAAATAGCAAGACAAAGGCAAGTGTTAGTTGAAAGCAAGTGGAGTGAAAACAAATGAAAGAGTGATACCTGAAGCATCGTTTACAGCGTGTCGGCCATCGCACTTGCGGATGAAAGCCAAGAGGACATAAAGGATCCCCTTTGGCCGTTGGGTACAAGTGATGCATTCTAAACACAAGATTTACATCGAGTTGTCGGAACCGTCAATATGTCACTTGAGTTCACACGACGGTAATCATCCCAAGACGAAGCGATTTCACCTCATATTTTCGTGATTCATACAAGTTTTTCCTTTTTAATTTTCCCTCCTTATTTCAATTAAAGATGGGACGATGCAACTATAAGTTCATTCAACAATATTATATTCATTTTACATGAAATAATGAATTCATTGTTTAAATACAATTGAAGTTCTTTGGATTATTTACAAAAAGTATTTAGAAGTTAAAGTGGATTTGGTATTTATATTGTTCAAAATGTTATGAAAGTATTGCCTAATCGTCTTCTATTAAACTTTTTCTGTCTCCATTTTTACATTTTCTTTTGTCTTTTCGCTTCCAATAAAATATATGTGACGCGACCCGAAGAAAGGTACCTAAGAAGCAAACGAATTATAGGTTGGGTTCGAGTTAGATTCATCTTGATTAAAAGTTCATTTTTAATTATTTGAATTTTAAACCAGTATTCATTGAATATTTTGAATATAATGAAAACCAACAATTTTTAATTAATAATTGATTCTCTTTCTGTATTTTTACTCAAAAAATTTAAAACATAACCTCAAATTTTTTCCTTCTTATAGGTACCTTTCTTGGGAACGCGTCACATATGTACTTTATTTACATTCACATACTTTTAAGAATAAAACAATTTTAATTATTTATATGCAAGAAAATAATTATAAAAAGGATGCTCTGAATTATTAAGTAAACAGACGATTAAACTGTAAAAACAAAGTCTTATTTATCTGACAAAAGTATCATCTTTAAAATTCCTCAAGTATTCATAATTATTTTGCAACAGTAGAGTTGGTGAAGTTCACAACGTAAAAAATATTCTTCTGTTTAGACTTTTATATATTTTTGAATAAAAATTCTGATCAATTAACCGTGTGCCAATTGAGATCAACGACGAAAAACAGCATCTGACGCAATTTGTGAAGACTTGGCTTTTTCGTATAAATGTGGTGTGAAAAACACAGTATATTGTACTTTTTCAAGCGAACGACGAAGAAAGTCCTTTTTCGACGATGCAAAAATTTGTTTTTTAAGTTCTCTCTATAATCACGTAAACAAGAAGGCTAGAGACAGGAGGTGAAACTTCGGTAGTGGGGATGAGTCAAAAGCCTTTCATTAACCAGGCGTTTTTCGTCTCGAAAAGTCGCCGGCGCGGTGCTTCTGCACATCACTCACACATTCAAATTCTTGTATACCATATGTTTTACATATGTGTATGATATGATTTTAATTTGAGGTTAACTTTAAAGTGCAATCAGTGCAATATATCGAGACACAATTGACAATGTGTGTCATAACGGATATATAGAAATAATGTGAGTGATTATTAAATTAAGTGTTATTCAAATAGTTAAAAATTCCGAAAACGTGCTGTGTGAAAAGTTGTAACAAGAAGAAAGATAAACCTACACAACACTATGACTATTACTTTTTGTTAACTTTTAATACACTTCATGCTACAGATTACACATTTTTTTGTTTTTAAAACGTTTTTTTAATAACTGTAAGATGTTTGAAAATATAAACACTTATATTTCACATTGTATTTGTATAGAATATATTTTCCCGTGTTTACGTGTGTTAGATTGCGCAGAAGTCCGTCTGGGCTACTGCGGCGAAAACTTTTTTTGAAAGTAAACGCCTGACCATACATCAGCTGAGCGACTCAGCATTGCCATACCCCCACTACAGAAATTTTACCTTCTGTCTCTAGTCTTCTTGCACGTAAAGTTGGTCATTGAATTTTTATTATTTTTAAAAATACTTTTTAAAATGAAATATTTTATTATTTTTTAATTTGAATTACATTTTAAAAAATATTTTATATTTTATTTTTATTAAAATTTTTTATTGTATTTTATCAGGAACTCTTACGAAAAATTTGTATGATAACAATTAATAATTAATAATTAAAACTTAATATTTGTTTGAAACCGCAGTGAAATATCTTTTACAATTTTTTTTCAAAAAATAAAATAAATTTTCTTTAATTATGGAAGAATTTACAAGGTAGGTAATAAAAATATTTTTCAATTTTGAAAAATAACAAATTTGTCTAATTATTCAAATACAAATAACTCACTGTATGGTAGAATAAATTATTTTATTTGAGTGTGTAAAAATTATAGAAAGATCCCAACACTGAAAATAAATTTTTTTCATAGTGCTATTTGAGCGCAAACACAATTTTTAAACGCGTTTTTCTCGAAACCACATTTTTCCATGCTGCGTAATGTTTTTCTCGGAAACTACTGGAGAATCGCGATTCTCAAAATTTTTTTACGAAAATCTTCGTCGCACGTGTGGGTATCACAGGAACTAGAATTATTTAAAAATATTAATTTTTACTATTTTTTTAAACCGAAAACATTTGTTTAAATTGCCGCCATTTTGTTATATTTTTGCATAAAAATTAAAAATTCTAGTTCGGGCGATAAGCACAATCCTACTGATCATAAATTTTTTTTCTAACCGAAGAAATCAATTAAGCAGCTGGCATCGTTTATTTAATTTAATATTTTACCAGAACATCTCATGTAGAAATTTGTTATTTCAGATCATAGCGATTTAAATATTTCCCGTTTAAAATGTAATTAAAGCTAAAAATTATGTAGTAAATAAACTACCTCAAGTTGAAGAAAAACCAAAAAAACAAATGCATCGTCGAAAAGGCACTTTTCAACTGTTCGTCTACGTTATATTCACTGCGCTTACACGCTTACAGGCACTTACAGGAAAAGGCACAGTCCTCACAAGTCGCGTCAAATGGCATTAGATGTTTTTCGTCGTTGATCTCAATAATTGGCACTCTCTTCCCCCTAACCGACGAATTTAAAATAAGAAAAATTTTTAAATTAAACATTTTATAGTTTTCGACAAGAAAAATATTTAAAATAAAAATATTAAATACCACCGAGTGATAAATTCAAATCAATATTAAAAATATTTCTTTTCTATAAATCGTTGATTATTAACATTGTGAACTTCACCAACGAGCAATAATAAGAAGTACAAAAATTTATTATAGAAAAAAGGGTGGTAACATAAATGAAGCTGAAAGTGGCACCCACTTACTTTTAGAAATTAAAGTTTGAAGTTAAATACTTTTTTGTTTAAAACCAATATAAAAATTTGGAAAATTAAGTACGTGATGATAACTGAATGTAAATATAAAAAATATTTAATTCCAAAATAAGAGGGTGCTGAAAACTGCGGGTGCCAGTTTCAGTTTTATTGGGTAAAAATTACCAAGTTTATTATTACAAACAATAAAACACTTACTTGAGTGTGACACTGAAACATATTCGATGTTGTTTTTCTAACTAGAACAAAAAAGCCAAAAAAGTTAAATATTAAATTATTTTTATTAGTACTTGCGTTAGAATAATAATAATTTATTAATTTAACTAACTTGATTGAAAATTGGTTGGACATGCACTGATAAATATTTTTACAAATGATTGTAATTGAAAACTAAACAATCTGCAATTTCTTTTTATTTAAAAAACCATAATATTCTATCAAAATGTTTGGTTCGTAAACAAAAATTTTTTAAAAAATTTTCTTTTAGTTGTAAAAAAAAAGTTTTATACAAAATTGGGATTAGAAATTAAATATTAAAAGTTTCTGCTTTATAATTAAAAAAATTGAATTTTAAAATTATATTGATTATAATAAATATTTAGCAAATTTTTGTTTAGTCTACAAAAAACATATTATATGAGTGTTCGGAAAGTCTTTGAAATTTTGAGGTTACGTGATATACGTAAACCACGTAAACAAACAATTTGCAACAAATCCTTCTCTGAAGCTGAACACAGACACTTTTTACAAAATCTACTAACGCACCATGGATAAGTATCTTTTAAATTACAATAATCGATTAAATTGTTTAAATACATGCAGAAACGCGGTTGCAAACTGGAAAATTGGGAAGTAAATAAGTAATGTTATGTCAGACTGCAGGAACAGGAAGTGGTTTACGGCTAGTCGCCAGCAGTCGCCAGTAGAGGGCGGAAGCATGCAGAGCGACACAGAGCGAGCACAATGGCCCAGCTGTCATATGGTTTCGGTGGTTTCGGTTTGCATGGCTTTGCATTGCATCACATTACTTTCCAATTTTTCAATTTCATTTTACAGCAGCGTTTCTGCATTTTTGATTGCTGTAATTTAGAAGATATGGTACGTTAGAGGATTTTGTAAAAAGTGTTTGTGTTGAATGAAAAATTTGTTGGAAACTGTTTATTTTCCCTATTTGCCTATTTCACGTCTAGACATTTAAATCAGTCAGTGCCATTCGTGCCATTTCATATTAATATCAGATTCTATATCAAGTTTTTATATCTCCAAACTTCTCGTTATATCGAGATTCGAGTGCAGTTGAATAATAGGTACGTTTTCGTTGCCTGCACTAAGTTTAACTTTTACACCACGTCAAGAGTAGGTGCAGAAAGTGTAGCGAAATGTATGTTAAAATTACGTCACATCCGGCAAAGAGAACAGCATAGTGCAGGTTAGGTGTTAAAGTGTAAGAAGTGCAGGCAACGAAAACATACCTATTATTGTTTATCAACCACAAATTTTGATACAACACTGCCTATATTGTGTGCCTTTTTCTTATAACATATTACTTTCCAACTCTTGTTTGTTTACAATTTCACAACCATTATAAAAAAGTTATTGTTTAAAAGTGACAGGTAATCAACAATTTGATTTAAAGTATACATTTTTAATTGAGTTGGTTAAATTATTAAATTATTATAATCATTCTAACAAGTATACTAATAAAAATAATTTAATATTTAATTTTTTGTTACAGTTAGAAAAACAACATCGAATTTGTTTCAGTTTTTAGTGATACATTCAAGTAAGTGTTTTACCTTTTGTAATTTTTACCCATTACCCAAGCCTTTTTTGGAAAATTTCTACTTTACGTTGAATAGGAGGGAATAAAATTAAATTTGTCAATAATTTATAGAAATATTTCCAATTTTTCTTTTGGGGTTATGTAACCATTCAAACCATTTAACATTTTCCTAAGGAAGTGAAGCAACAAATTCATATGCAAAGGAATTCCGTGAGTTTTATTGTTTAGGGAAAAAACTTTGGTTTTTAATGAAAAATAGATATTCTGTTTACATTTTCCTCCAAATGACCTTAATACATGTAATAAGTGCAATTAATAATTGAAATTTATTTTCAGACAATTGAATAATATTTAGCAAAGTTTTCGGCATTTGGAATAAATACATTTTGACATATTGGATACATAATCATGTATTTACTAAAAAAATTTGTTAATAAATTCAAGAAATTGTAAAATTAAATTAACAAATTATTAACTCGATTAGTAATAATTGAATCAGAATTGTTTTTTGTCTAAGATTACCTCGAAATTCTGTTTCTGCAATAGTTTTGATTATGAATTCGAATTCTGTTTTCAAACATTGATAATGACAGATCCAATATGTCACTTTTAATGAAATCTGACCAAAGTGTCAAGTGAGCAAATTGTTAATGAATGAAAATTTTATTTGACAGAAATAGTTTCCTTACTATTTTTGACAAACATATAACTTAAGATTGAAATTTACAAATTTCTCTCATATAAGAAAATTAAAAATCACTCGAAGACCTAGAAAATAAGTAAATCAGAAACGCATACTGCACAGCCAAGCTAAAGTTTATCAAGCATTTTTCAATTTTCAGTTTGTATATTTATTGTTTGTCATTAATTATTTATATTAATTGAATCTTCCTCGCCTAGAAAGAAATCTAATTCTCATTATCTTTAATTACTTTAGATAATTTAGGAAGAACGTTTTTATAACAATAATTTTTTCAATTGTTTTTTTTTTAGTTAATAAAGTTAAAGCAAAAATTTCAAAATTTCTAATAAATTAATTACTTAATTATGCGTGTTATTGAAAGTTCAAAATAAATATTCTTCAGTCGTGCAAAAGTGATATAATAAAATTATTTATTAGTTATTACAAAAAAATGGTAATTGTCCTTTTCTATAATTATACGAAAGAATAGATTTTAATAATTTAACAAATAAAACGTTTTCTTTCCTTAACCCTCGGAGCACATACAGGGTCTGTGTGGCCCTGATTTTTAGTTTAAACTTAAATTTCTTTAAAAAATTGTAACAATTAGAGGTCTTATGATCTAAAAGTAATTGTTTTAGGTTCTTATAACACGTTCCAATGTTCCCCGAGTATAATGCTCCAGTTAGTTGTCGCCCAGATCTCGCCAAAAAATAAAAATCACCTCCATTTCCAAAAAATGCTTTTTTTACAAACTACAGTATAGAATTTTTTTATTTTAGTGTGCCACTATTTAAGAATACAAATGTAAAATATTAGTTAAAAATATTAAAAATTACGAGGACATCAATTTTTTTCCTTTTTCTGAAAAATTGTCTACTTTTAGCAATTTTTTTCTATAATAAAATATTTATTATAGAAACTTATTCTTCAATGTTTAAAGAATATTAAACAATTTTTTTATGTAAATTTAATGATAGAGTTTTTAAAAGTGAACAGGGTCAAATTGACGCTGGAGTGTGCTACAATTCGAAAAAAATGTACACGGAAAAAAAAGTACGTGAATCCTTCCTTAACAGTGCTTGACTTTTGGATAGGACACAAAATACAAGGCTGTTGCATATACTTTTTATTAGAAAATATAAGAAAGTCCTAGAATTATTCTAGTACTAGTATGGCTCAAACTAATACTACACTGAGAGAAATGGATAGTCAGATTTTGATGTTACTCGATACTATTATTATGCTACTATATATAGATAGCTGTCTGTATTTGTAGCATTAAAGATGGTCACCCTGACCATCATTATGTTACCCACTACTATAAATTTCTCTCCGTGTAGAATAATTCTAGGACTTTTCTATATTTTTTAATAAAAAGTATATGCAACAGCCTTGTATTTTGTGTCCTATCCAAAAGTCAAGCACTGTCAAGGAAGGATTCACGTACTTTTTTTTCCGTGTATATGCTCCGAGGGTTAAAAGAAGTTCTCACTCAAATAAACTTTGAAATAAAAAATTTTCTTTAAAAAACTTTATTTCATAAAAATTATTAGCAGAAAATTAATTGGCGACAGTAATAAAATAATTTTTTGGTACTGTAAAAAAATGATGAATGTCTGATTCAATTTTAGTTTTCTATCAAAATTATAGTTATCTTCTAAAAATTTGTTAATAAAGTGAGAAATTTATTATTAACAAGGAACTGATTATTGTCAACTAAAAAAACCTTGACGATATAAAATTAAATTTTTTTAAATTATGATCATTTAACGTAATTTAAATTTCTTATTATCATCAATAATGTTTAATAATGTTTGAAACGTTACTTTTTATGAATGATTTGTAGACCAAATGAACTTCATTCTACGTAAAACCTATAACTTTCAACTTGACACGAAACGATAAACGTCAATCCAAACTTCACTTTTATTATTTTATGCTTTTTGAAAAGTATAAATTATAATAAAAGTAAAAACCAAACTTATAAAATTAGATACATTTTTATAATTATTGCTTATAGATAAATAAGAAAAAAAGTAATGTGATGGAGTCTTTTTTTCTTATACATATCTATTATTGTTCTACTTTCAATTCAATTGCGCAATTAATATATTTTTTATTTTTTAAATATAAAATTGATAAATTTGACCTCAGTCGTTACAATAATTTTTAAGATTTGCTTGATCTAATATTGTTGAATGAATTCCAGATTTTGGAAATATATTTATATTAAATAGTTTTCAAAAAATGTTAAACACTTTAAAATTTAAATAAATTTAATTTAATATTTTGCTCTTTAACTTCAATAATAAATAAATAAATAAATAAATAAATAAATAAATATGTTTAATGGTTCATTATTTTTAAATTGAAACTAATCTTAATATTTTGCTCGTTAAAGTTCTATAGACTAATAATTATTTTTAGTCATTTAATATTTATAAATTGAAATGCTTTTTAACATTCTAATATAAATCTGAAGTATTAAATTTAATTGAAATTTGAAAATATTAAATGTGACACTTTCCGAAAAAAGGTACCCAAGAGGTAAAAAATTGTAGGTTATGTTTGTAATTTTTTAAATAAAAATATAAAAAGCGGATCGATTCTCAATATAATTATTGATGTTTAAGTCTTCATTACATCTAGAATAATGAATGAAAACTGATTTTAGTTTCACAAAATCAAAAACAAGCTTTTATTTAATAAGCTAAAAATAACATGAACATAACTTTAAAATTGTTTGCTTCTTAGGAATCTTAGGTACCTTTCGTCGGAGTGGTTAAAAATTATTAAAAATTTTAATAGAATTTAATATTTAGCTTTAATTAATATTCAAAAATTTAATATAAATTTAAAAACATTAAATTTTATAAATTGAATAAATAAATATTGATATATGTATCATATAATTTAATACTTTTACTGATTAAAAGTTAATCAATGATTAAATCATGAGCGGTTAAATTGACATTATCATTGATTAAATTTTAATTGGAGTTGGTGAAACTGGCCCTTAATCTAAATTTCTCATGTTTAATAAACCTAATACTTTTTAATTTAAAATAAATTCATTTGTCAAGTAATGTAACACTTTGAAATTAAATATTTAAATTTTAATCCGAAAATTTTGCTCTGCAAATCGACCGAAAATATTATTTAGATCTCATATCCGGTTTAATATAGTGAGAGAGTTCTATTTAAATTCTCAGATATTTTCACGGACACACAATGTATATAGTAAACAATTTGTGACATTCCAGGTTTTCTAGTTTGTTTCACCAGACCACAAAATTTTCCACTGAAATCAATTTTTTCAGAACTTTTCTCCTCTGATGTTATTTTCCAATAACATAAGATTTTTTCTAATGTTCTGAAGAGAGTAAAAATCGCTTCTTTTGGAATCATATCAAGATTAACACTATTTTGCAGAAATAAGAGCAAACGGAAGTAAAACTTTTTTCACTTTACACGTTATGGGGAATTCTTGCTGTTCATTGTGGCTGATGAGGGTTCACGGATAGCACTACGAGCGGTTAGCGGGTTACGTAATTTTGAGTCGATTTTCAGAGCCAATCTTTAGTGAGTTGGGTCGCTAACCCAAATGCAGCGATTAAATTTATCCTCGAGTGGCAAGCAATCATTGGCTAGCCTCTTTGCAATTGTCCTTAGTGAGGAAGAGGAAAAAAGAAGCGAACTCGAAACGCAATGCAAATGATGGGAATTGATCCTTACGATTCTGTCCACAAATACACTGTCCTCTAATCGAAATTAGATCGAAATTAGATCGAAATTAGATCGAAATAATAACAGAGGGAATAACTTCGCGCGCGTTTTGCGCCCTGCCGCGCCGCGTCGTTTACATGCCGGCCTCGGGAATTCGGGAAACGCTTTTCCTAGGATTCGATAGCGAGCGCCTAGACGTCGGAGGCTGCACTGACATGGCTACTATTACGGGGTTAGATCGTAGTTAGCAGTTAACAGCGCGAGCGTGCTCGATTGGGCGTCTGCCAGGGTGTATATTTATCTCTAGCTATAAATATAGTGCACGGACGGGAGTCTACGCACAATACACAAGACAACAGGGTTTTCCTTTCCGAATTTCGATGTTTTAGACTAATTTCTCCTTATGGTCAACATTTTCAAACGTTCGAATTCTGCTCATTTATTTATCTCTTTTATAATAATTACATAACATTGAGTTCATGTGTTCTTCAGAACAAGTGTCATGATTTTCAGTTCAAAAGGGGTCCGATTCGATATGGTATATGGATTCAAAAATTTATCCACAGCAGATATCACACTGCACTTCATTTTTGCATCTTTACATTTGAAAATAATTATATTTACTTATGTTTACCAAGCGTCACCTAGTGATCCAAATTAATACAATAGGCCGTTATAAAACCACTTGCATATTATTAAGGTGTGTCATTTCTCCTTTTATTCAAATGCACTTTTTAAATTAGTATTCTATTCCAATTACAATATTATTTTACTGTTTACTTTCCTTATTTCTTTTTATACAATAAATAGATTATTATTCTTGAATAGAAATAAAAACTTTTGATATATACTATTTTATTTGGGATTAACTTCTTGTATATTCAAAATTACTTAAAATTCTACTATATAATGTATAAGAAATTATACTTCCTGTCAGTTGTTTTAGGCCAAAGACTTTGGCATAACTTTGATTGTTTGTTTACTTTTTTGTTCACATATAAAAAGTAATTTTTATTTATATGCAGATCAGGCTAAAATACTAATACCGATTAAAAATATTAATGCTTCTTTGATATTACAATCTGATATGAATTGCACAGTTTCTTATATAATTATTTTGCTGATAATCATCTACTTAAACGAAGATAAGGATTTGCACTTTTGAAAAATCGATTTTTTGTCTTTTCTTATGGAAAAACATCTCAAGAATATAGCCCTAAAATTTAAAGTCAATCAGAGCAAAACTCTTCAAGTTATTTACTATAATAATTAATCCCCTGTCCTCTAAGACAGGGGTTAGTTATGTACTTGTATACATTCGGTCGAGTGTTCGTTCTCAGTGATATAATATAAAGCAAAAACTTGGAAAAATATATTTACAAGGTGTCTACTAACCTGAAAATAAATTATAATTGTGAATCTCTATCGAACCTTTACAAAATTTGTTACTTTTGGGGAAATTATTATTAAGTTCTATGCGGTGTCAAATAAATATTTGATTTCGTTTTTTTCGAAATGAAGTTTTTGACATTCTGAACTTTAAAATCTTGTAACTCAGAGATTTTTGCACTAAAATAAGACCCCTCAAAAAATTTCAAATTTATAACTAGGAATTTGTTCATAAATGAGACAAGTCTAATATTACCAAAGTACACATATGTGACGCGTCTGAGAAAAGGAACCTTATAACCAAACTAATGGTCGTTCACTTATCTTACCGTTTCACTTACTCTTACTACTCTCAACTATTATGCAGTGCAGTTAAGTTAATTAAATTATTAAATATTGCTGTGAGAATAATTAATTATACATTTCATTCAACTAGTTGACAATATTATTTATTCAATATTATGAATATTGTTGACATCCATTATCCATACTTACATTAATTACAAAGTAAAATTTAGTTGTTAATTGTAAGTATGAAGATGTGGGAAGAATAAAACTTGTGAATTAATGAATATGAATATATAAAGAGTGCATTTAACATATTTTTCTTTTTTTTAATGATTGGTTATTGTTTTTTTTATATAAAATTGACGAAGTGAATAAAAGGAAACACTCGTTTCGCGTCGCGTCGGCCATTTATTTTGACAGGTTCCGCGCCTGCGTTCCTTTATTGTGAAAATTTCGAAGTAGAGGACTGAGTCCATCAGTTTCTCTACTATGCACACTGCAGCGCGCCTTACAATCTTCGCCTGTGTTTCAATGCTGTTTACAGTGACATTTGGAACTAAGGCCCTCTATACACTATACGCAACACCCTAAGATGCTTGATGGAAATGAATTAATGTACTTTTACTGGACTGAGTCCTGTTTTTTCAATATTGACTCCCAGTTTTTCATACTCCATTTTTCTCCGTGTAAGGTCCCTTTTCTCAGACGCGGTCACACACTCATGCAGTCCTTCCGGTTTATTTTCAAAACCGAGACATTTCTACCATGCTATTAGTTCGTGGTAAATTAATAGGATTGTGATAGAAATGTCAGTTTTAAGAAGGGTGTGCAAACCAGAAGGACAGCATATAAGCAGTTACCACGACCATTAAAACGAGAATTAAATTAAATGGCCGACCTGTCAACCAAGTCGACGTCCGACGTCCTGTTTCAGCGCATTTTTACTAGTGAGTCCCAATAGAACTAAATATCAAATTACAGATTTTAGTTACCGATAATTATTCGCGTCTGAAAAACAGAACATCAAATTATCCAGTCACAACCACTCTGTTGTGATGGAGATCTCCAATATTCCGATTGAGTTATCTCTCTTCTGCAGAAGTTGTACGAATAGAACGAGTGGGATAGTGATGTACATTGAGACGAGATTCTCCAATTTCTCAGTCAAAATTGATCGTTTCTGAAGTTATCTTGAACGAAAAATTCTTAATATTCTTTTGTTATTATCGTCTCATCTTGTTCTTTTTTTCAATCGATATCTCAATGCTTCCCTGTCAACGAATGTGTATAAATAAAGGTTAACTATAAACATTGATTCAAATTTAAAAAATTGATTGTTTAAGTTCTGGGGATAATTTACGAAAAAGGAAAATAGGAGCAGATGATGACAACCCTTTACCAGACTGTTCAAAGTACAATTTTTGTCAAAAATTCTGATTTATAAAATACATAATGTACGTAGAAATAATTATTACTTTCTTTATTAAGACGTAAACAAATAAGAAGAAAAAAGGGAAAAACCTTCGATGAATACTTTGATTTTTTCTACAAAGACAATGTAAAAATGTCTAAATGTAAATTATGTTATGGAAACAATCAGAAAGAAATTATTATTAAAATGACAGCAGGTAACACTACCGGAATAAAAAGACACTTAGACAAACTCCATCAGAAGGAATATGAAGATTTTTACGAAACATCCACAAATTCAGCTGAAAATAAAGTATATTAAACAATAATAAATAATTAATGTTTTATAGTTAAATGTTCATTTTTATAAGTCTGAGAATTTTAATTTTACTATTTTCATTTTATAATATAAATAAGAGTTAAATTTTTTTGAAGAAATTCAAATATATGTATATAGTATATATGTGTAATTAACCCCCACAGCACCGAAACAATTTAAGAAAATTTCGGTGCTGTGGGGGAATTTAAAGAACGAATATAAGTAATTATCAATATAATATAATGCGATAAAATATTCTTTAATTTACAATAATATAATTGTGTTAAATGGTTTCAATTAATTTTTTGCACAAAATTGAGGGTCGGGTAAATGTAATCAAAATTTTTATAAATTGGTAAAAATAAAAAATTAATTAGTTAATTAAAAATAATTAATATTAATAATAAAATAATATTACATAATAAAAAATATAAATGTTTAAATATGCTCAGTAATATATAAATAAAATGTACTTCTAAGAATAATTTTTAGAAATAATATTTTTAGAGTTTTCCTCTTTTCCTCATTTTCATAGGTATTCACTCAAGAAAATTTTAATGACAAGACTGTCGACTGGATTGTAAGGAAATATCTTCCCTATAGTTTTTTTGACGACGAAGAGACTCAAGTTTACTTCAGCTACATAAATCCGATTGCAAAGTTGCCAAAACGGAGGGAATTAAAATCATTAGTCGAAAATCGATTTGAAAAATTGAAAAATTCTGTTTTGAATATAATTAAAAGCAATGCATCAAAATTCTCTACCACTCTCGACGGTTGGACATCTATCGCTGGAAGATCGTATTATTGCATAACACTACATTTTATTTCACCTGATTGGAAGATGCACTCACTTCTCTTAGATTTTTGTCCTTCGAATGGCGATCATACAGGTCAAGATATTGCAAAACTTTTTTTTAATGTGCTCCAGAAAAATGAAATTGAAAACAAACTGCAGGGAATCACAGTGGACAACGCTTCTAATAACACAACTTTCATGTTAGAACTTTCAAAATTAATGTACTTCGATGCTGAAAATCAACACTTCAAATGTTTCGCTCATATCTTAAACCTTGCAGTTCAAGACATGTTAAAAGAATTGAAACTAGAAGATAATATTGTAGACCAGAATGATGAAATCTTTGAAGATGATGAAATTGAAAATAACGAATCAAATGAAGATATTGAAGACAATGAAGATGATATTGAAGAATCGATCAAGTCCTGTAAAACTCCGATTTCTAAAGTTAGAAGACTTTTCAAATTTCTCAAAAAATCTGAGCAATGGCGAAATAAGTTGGCCAATTGTTGCGAGATCTGTAATGTGGTAATGAAATCTCCAAACATTGATGTGACCACTAGGTGGAATTCAACCTACGATATGCTTAAGTTGGCCCTTCATATGCAACATCCTTTAGATTTATTATGCCGCAGTAATAAAGTATTAAACGATTTAATTTTTAATGAGGAGCAATGGACAATTTTGAAAGAAATAAGTCACTATCTTCGAGATTTTAAAACGTTGTCAAAACTTTTTTCTGGCGAAAAATATGTAACTCTTCCATACGTGGTGGTTGGATTTAACATGCTCGTAGACAAACTGGAACACGAAATTCAACTTTTAGATCAAGTGTCAAATAAAACATTAACACAAAAGCAAATTAGATCAGCTCTTTTTTCAGCTCGAGAGAAACTATTCAAACACTACAATAAGTGTAATTGGATGTATTGCGCCGTTTTAATCTTGGATCCAAGGCATAAAGTCGAACAATTCAATAAAACTTCTTGGGGAAGAGAGA